GATTTGTGATGCCAGTTTTCACCCTAATGTTGTCCTGATCTACTGTACCTTTGCTTGCTAATAGTGACTTGGTGTGAGCATGCTTATTGAACGACAGCTTACCCCCATCAAAGCCTGGACCAGTCGTTCTATATTGTTTTATCATCATCTCCTGAACCAGCTCAGGTGCAGCTTTTGCAAGTGTGATCGCACTTTTCGCGTCTTGCAGAACTTCCTTCGGCATATGGAGAGTCACTTGGAGTGCAGTCTTTCAGTCAGTCTTTTGCTTTGCCAATGACTCAGGCCCTGCTGGAGTTCCATGTGCGTCCTGTGTGTTGTGGTCACCCAGTGGCTCGAAACGTGTTCTTTGTTGCCACTCCAACCAGCCAGGACGAGGTCACTGGTCGAAAAACCTTGGACCAAGCGGTGAAATTGCAGACGGCAGTGGAATCCAATCCGATACATGGATGAGTGGATCCTGATGTTCATTCCTTTGGTCCGGTCCATTCCGCTTGAAATTCTTATTTCTAGTGGGTTTCTAGGCTGGGGTGGCAAACATCCATTGGAATGCATTTTTGGCAGACAAAGCTGGAGCAGACGAGAACGAATGGCCATCCATTCCTCCGGAAAAGTGGCGCTCCCAACGGTGAGTTGTTTGACTGGCGCTCTACATGTGTTTGGTGGAAGAGGCAGCTTTCGCACCATAGAACATCCGTGGTTTTGCGGCTTTCCGTTGTTTTGCTCCTTGGTTTCGCTCGTGTTCCGTGGTGTTTCGCGGCTTTCGCAGGTGGGGAATGTCCCATCGGTCAGCGAGAGCTCCTGAAGCTTCGAGGGAGACTGGGCTTCGAGGAGGTGTTCGCCGAGCATCGAGAGCTCGCCCGGGTCGGAGGTGACCGGGTCGGTGGTGATGTGACATCTCAGACATGAATTCCATGGACATCCATTTTCTTCGACCTGGGCGCAGTTACGCCAACCCTTGGCACAATGCTTAGATGGACTTGTTTAAAGTTCATGGATTTGTCGATGCAGTTAGACATGAAAGACTCTCCCCCAGCTGCAATGGGGAGCAAGCATGATTTCGACATGGTTTGTGTCCGCTTTTTTTGTCCGACGGGGCGGCGGATCCACCACCAGCAAAGAGCATTTCTTCCAAGGGCTGAAGCACCACCTCTGGCGGCACCGGCCACGCCTGCGCCTGGACTGACACCTGCGCCACGCACGCCAGCGCCGACGGCAGAGAGAGCAGAGGCGGAAGTGAAGGAAGTCGAGGTCAAGGAAGCGAAGCTTGGCGCAAAAGGCGAAGCTAGGAGGAAGACAAGCAACATCCAACATTGTTGTAATACGTTGTAATTATATAGTATAGAGTATAGGCATTATAGTACTGTATACAGTGCCATATTTAATGAGTCGTATAAATTGGTTCACGGAAAACTTGTTTGCACTTTGCACAAAAAGTTAGAGAAAAAATGGGGAATGGCCGAGGCCATGATAAGATGTAATCTCAATGCTGACTTGGAAGGTTATCAGATTGTCATAGTGCACGCAGTACACTCCATGACCCGTTGCCAACTAACAGCTCCTCCAGAAGCCGGAAGCTAGGCCTCAAATCGCGACCAGCTTTCAAAAGAGGAGAGGCGAGACCTTCCTGCCCGTTTGGATATATAGTTTGCCGTCATCGCCCTTGAGCAATTGGATAGCATTTGATATAGAATGCAAGAAAAACGGCTAAGTGCGAATTGACAGCTCTTGTTGTTCATCCCGTTTACATCCTAGTCTAAAAGCCGTTGTGTCCAAATGATGGATTCGCCTGTTTGGAGACCTCAAGGTCGGTACCTCACTCTGCAGGTTTGCTGTCGGAACTGCGGCTGCTACAGCCACGGAAGTATGCGGAGATGGCGGCTGATGCCTGTGGATTGTTGAATCGCAGCGTGCAGGACACCGATGAAATAGTAGGGCAGGTTCGCGGGTCAAAATCCCAAAGAGCGGAATCCGAAAGTAACAGAACAGAATGAAGTAACTAGAAGAATGCCTTTGCCCAGTTTCCAATATGTTGCCATCTGCGGCGCTGGCGCAGATAGATTTATGAAGGTGTGACACAAGTTCTTTGGCTTGCATGTGTAGGATGAGCTTTGTGGGAAGACACATGTTCTCATAAGTTCAATCGTCAGACAAAGTTGGCCCCGAAGACAACTCGATACTCGAATGAAAGGGGTGAGTACTGGGCGGCTTTCCTGGCCTTACTACTAGGAGCAAGAAGCTACATATATCATATATCATATATCTTCCAAATGCCGAGCACCTGAACCAACGCCAGGAGCTCAGCACCTTAGTGCAGCGAGCTCGGCAGTGCCCCGAGAGCAGTGCATCCACCACAGCCGATCCGCCAGCTCCGCATGGCGGAGGATCCACTGCGGCCCGATCCGCGAAGGAGGCGGAGCGGACTCCGGTGGAGGAGCTCATTGACAGGCGAGAAATGGGAGAGAAGGGAGGACCTAACATCGATATGTACGGATAAAAGGGAGACTGACTTGAGACTTGGGAGTCACATGATGTACCTTTTGAGTTTCGCTTCGGACTCCAAACCTGGAGCAGAATCACAAGTCCGCTTGTGGTGGACCTAGGTGTGGATCCTCAGTCTTGCACTGAGTCTTTTTTTCACACTTCCTGCAGACAGCATGGGTCTTTTGAGTCACCATCCAAGACATGGGACATGGGAGCCTGGGAGACCATTCTGAATTCCTGCACAACCCAGTGATCCAGATCTTTCACATAGCGACCCAAGTGTTATCGGTGTTAGTATCGATGTCTATCGATTAGATTAGATGATGTGTCGAGATTAGATGCTTCCGGGAAGAAGTCTTCATGATTCATGACAAGACGCAACTCCCGACTTCTCCATGGAGCCCAGCAACTTCCCACGGCTTCGTCAGGTTGAAGTGGCACGGCTTTGAGTTCCATCCCCTCTTCAGCTTCGAGGACTGCCGCAGCGAGCTACTTGGCGAAGCAGGTCCTGGAAGATTCAGGTCATGGCGGTGGTATGTCATGGTATGCCATTGGTGGCGTTTGGAAGGAAGACCAGGTCCAAAAGGAAGGTGCATTTTCTTGAGGCAAGGAGACCAACAATAAGGAGCCACGAATTCACTATCCTTCAATCACTTGCTTGTAGCACTGCGCATTGTCTTGCTGATGGTTCCTCAGCGACTCGCACCCGAAGCGCCATCCAACGGATCCGACCCGCCTTCCCGGCAGGTTTCTTCTCCGCGACGCCAAGCAGCTGCCCTGCCTGGCGCCCGACCGCCGTACGAAGCGCCCGGTCGTGGACACCGATGTGACCGCGAAGCGGGCGAAGGAGGACAGCGAAGCGCGGCTAGGGAGTCACTGGGCGATGGAGAGTTCGGGTGGAGTGAAACAGTGAAACAATGGAATGTTGTGGGGATGAGTCCGGGATGAGTGGTATTTGTGGACATGTTAGTGATCTGTTTGTCGGTGTGCAATGGTGTGTGCAGACGTGAACGCCACATGTAGCAAAATGCACCATACGGAGCAGATATCGAGATGTGAAAGATGATGCAAGGAATCTTTGGGGTACAACCTGTACATCGAAACTTGTGCAACTGCCCTGGCAAAAGGAAGAAGCAGATGCCTGAACTTCACAAACACATGTTCGATGTTCTCAGTTCCTTTGAGGTACCCCGAGGAGAAACTGGTCGATTAGAGAGGTGCAAACTGGACAGAAGTTCACTATCATTGTGGGCCCTTTGTGGGGATTTGTGGCAGGCGCCTTAACGTGTTGGAAGACTAAGGAGGTTGATGAACCAAGAACCAGCAGCATTGGATCTGGCATAACACCACATTGATGCGGAGATCTAAAGTATTTATATCGACAACTATAGACAACCGGTTTCTCTCAGCAAACATCTGGCTGTCAGACTGTCAGGTGCTATGTTAATCATCCGATCCTTCCGGTGTTGGACAGATGCCTCAGAACATCTCAGAGCTGCATAGTAACTTACGTTTCCGGTGATTACCCTCAGCCAAGACAGAAGCTCACAGGTGGCACCGCGAACAGGGAGTGATATCAATTGCTTTGGGTTGTTTAGGATGTTGTCTACCCACTGCCTTCGGTCATTCCAATCTTGGGTCATCCCAGCTATCAAAAGCACGCCGCAAAGATGCACAGATGGAGCACCGAGGTCAACTCGTAGCGTTGGACGTGGTTTGATCCGTCGGACGGTGTCCGTCGGATCAGATGCGCCGGCGCCTGGCCGCCCTTTGCGGTCTCCATCTCAGCCAATGATATTGAGCTGTTCAGACTCAGGTAGCCATTAATGCAGTTGCGAGACAAACAACCAAATGACCTTCCCATTCTTTGAGATGGATTTGAAGTCGGTAGAGTAGAAGTTTTGGGCATGTTCGGTCAGCTTCTTCTATTTCGGGTGAGACGGATAATTGATCATCCGGCCAAGAGGCCTATGCATGATGAATGCCCTGTATCACTAGTGCTGAGATGTCTCTACCAGGATGCCAGTAATTGCAGTCTATATCGGCTATATTTTGAGGAGGCTTTGCTACTCGCATGGCTCCAGAAGCTTGGTATAGATGCGAAAGATGCCAGGAGAGACATCCCATGGGCCACACTCTCGGGTGTTCGCACTGTGTTGAATCCGTGGGATTCAAAGTCCTTGGCCCGTTTGTACATCATGTGGCTATGGCAGCGCTAAAGCATCTCCTGAACAAATACCAGTTTCGGATGGGCTTCGGTCGTTGAATCGAGTTCCAGTTGTTTTCGTGCGCACCTAAGACCGATGGATCTTTGGGAGGCGAGTCAGTGGTTCTTGATGCGCGTCAGGCGACCGAAGGGGAAATGGTCTCCTTTCAGCGAGCGAGGTGTGAGAGAAAAGGTGGTCTTGTAGCCATGGTGGCACCGCTCCTTGAAACCAGGCACGGGAGTGGGATTTGGGAGCACACCAGGCAGAGTTTGGGAGCAGACGCCACTCCAAGCCATGCCACACCGAAGGCATTTCGGCTCCCAACATCCTCACCGTTTCATTCCTGTCATGACCAGGACCTCGCACTCGCAGGCGCTGGGTCTTCGGGCCGATCCGCCCAGGTACTTGGTTGGATCCCGGTTTGGTGTCCCTGGCTTCGGCCAGGTGGGTGGAAATCATCCTCAAACAATGCGTCAATGCCCGGGTTTGGTCAGGGCATGGCTAGAGCATGACAAGTGCGTGAAATTGTTGGTCCATTAGAACAAGGAACTCTTTACCTTTGCTGATGTCGAACTCACTGGAACTCATGCCTCCCAAACAAGAAGGCTGGTCGAACCACAGGCAGCCCAGTGTCCAAGCAAACAGGTGATGTTCCAACTACTGTTGAGACAGTGGTTTCAGAGTAGATGGCACAATCCCCAAGTTCGGTGGTTTACATGGACCTCTATACAAAAGACATCTTGGGGTGCCAATGCCATCTACTCTGGAACCTGGACCTCAACCATCCGAAAACCCCGGACGAGGGCAATGAGGCGAAGTATGACACAGAGCGGTGTTGGAGAGGAGTACACGCACCTCAGGCGTGGGGGGCTTGCGCGAGATGACCTGGCAAAGCACGGAGTTGGTATAGCTTTTGCATTCAACATCAGTGGTGAGGATGGTTGGTTGTACCACGATGTGTGGGCTCTGGGGAGACTTTTAAGTGCATGCCCTCCTAAACATCCCCTGCCTCCAAGGCATCTACTTACTCAGAGAATCCGTCCTGGAAGTAGTTGTTGACCTGCATCTAGCAGTGGGGCAACATGTGGCCCATATGTTGCTATTGTTGAATTGGTCCATCGATTGTCTCTTGGCAGAACGATGAAGAGTTGACCTGTGAGTCGACCTAGCCGATTGGACCCGGTCCTTCAGACCTCTCAGCCCTGGTCCGTCAGGCCGAAAAGGATCCATGACTTGGTATCGGTCTTGAACGAGAACTGCGTGGACCTGGGTCAAAGCTATGCACCAAGGCGACGGAGTTTCCTTCTGTGTATCCGTGCAGGTGGATTTCTTCCTTTTGGCATGAGTCATGTTTTGGTGTGTTCGCTGGTGCTGCCTGGATGAACAGGATGTGGTTCTTGAACAGGAAGTTGAAATCCTGGACATCCTGGTGAAGTCATTGTCAATGTTTCGTGTTCTTTTTCATTTTGGGCTTTGTTAGCGCCATTCATGCTTGTCACGATGAGTTGCACCTTCCACAGGGGCTTCCAGTGTTTCCGTGAGTCATCGGTGGTTGAAATCGTTTTCCACCCATTTGTGGTTGCAACATGTGACAACAACAGGGAGTAGCCGAGGAATTATAGCTGTTAACATCCCCAAATGGTCAATGGTGATATTCTATGACGCTAACCAGTGGATATCAACAGAGTGGTGTGGAGAGAGTCCTGGGCATGGCACATGGCTTGCCCGCTTGTCATCCCAGGGGGCAGGGGAGCCCCCCCAGGTGCACAGATGCGGACCGCTTTTGACCGTCCTCATGGGGCCGTTAGGTGCTTGAAGTGTGCTATCCAAGCATGAGAACATTCACATGTGTGCTGCTTGGCCAGGGGAATCTCGGCCAAAGTCCAAAGCCTTTGGGATCTCATGGAATCTCGCTCGGCGGCTCTGGTTCTGAAGCCACAGGCGCCGTTGGCCCAGATCTGCAGACGGCACAGAGGGCGACCAGCGGTGAACAGACAAGCCACGAAACCGACAGCACCCATGTTTCGGGTACCACGTTGAATGGCTTAGACGGGCGTGATGGTCCCATGTTTTCGTGTTTCGCCGGGGTCGACCTGGATCGAACTGAGGGGGCAGATGGGGAGGCTGTTCATTCCATTGAGTTAATCACTGGGGTTCGCATCAAGTCTGGACAGGAAAGACCGGTTCACGAAGTCATCCTTGAGACACGTCACGTTGACCTGATCCAATACCACCCTCCCAATTGGCGCTCCGCAAACTAGCTTCGTTTGGCATGTGCCGAGCAACTCATCATAGCTCATCACAAACGTTTAGCAACTGCCGTTCCACCGCACTGCCCCCTCCACTGACTGCAAAGTCTGAGCGATGGAACCGGCGACGGAACCCCGCGCGACGGAACCAGGACTCCCATGCATCCTCAAGCTCGGGCGAGGCGTGGGATTCGTGCGTCGGATGCGCCAGTACGGTACACCTGGGAACCAGAGACATCCAGAGACACATGGTTGTTCCGTTCTGTGATCCATTTTGTTATTCTCACGCAGCCAACTAGTCAAAGAGAACTAGCGGTTGGCCTGCAGAGGCTGTGCATACAGTGGCTGCAGGTCACTCAGCTTTGTGATCCTTAAAAAAGGGAAATGGATCACATACAGTGGATGGAGGTCTCTCATACAGTTGGGGAAAACATCCAGTTGGAGGTCTCTCATACAATGGATCACATACAGTTGGGGAAACATCCATTTCTTTACGTGTGCAGTGGATGGAGGTCTCTCATCACGTCGCGTCTAAAGGTGGGTTCTCCGGTTTGCCACTTCGAGAGTTGCCACATGGCTTTTTCCAGAGAGCTGCGGACTTTGTAGGTACAGTAAAGTATGTTACAACTAGGAGGTTGTAGCCCACCTGCTCTGAATACACCCACTACCTGGGTGACGGAGCAGCAATTTTGCCGCTGTGGTGCAGACCTGTGATGTCCCACCAATGCCATCCAATATTTGTGGGTTGGACAGGACTAGCAGCTACCAGAAATCTATCGAACCCATGTAATCTGGGTGGTAGATTGTGTATGGAAAACCTTGATTGCTTTGCATGATCCCATGGTGAAGCGATCAAGTGCTTACGATCTGACACTTGATACTCGCGGGCTTGGTGTGGGCAGGATGGTGCAGACGGCGACGTGTTTCTGCTGAACCAACGAGCATCACGGACCAAATGCCTTGGTGTGTGTGTGGGCCAAAAGGTTACAGGAATGTGTTCTTGTCGAGGTGGTCAGTACGTCGACCAGACACTCTTCTTCGTTGACCCCCCACCGGGGCACGGTAGTGCCATGCGTCTCAGCACTCCGGTCATCTTCGAACGTCGATTTTGCTTCCGCCACATCTCTTGACCTGTGGCATTTGGCTGGGAGGTCCCCCAAAAGCTCAGCCACTTCTTCCTGTAACTTATCAGTTAAATTGGTCATAGCAGTTTTACCACCAATAGTGTGTTCATGTGTTTGAATTGTTTTGTTTTTATACAGGAAAGGGATGCTCCTTGTTTTAGTAACAGATTATCTTAATTTTGTAGTATGTCCACCGTTCTATATTTTGTATATTATAGTTCCTTCATTACAAGACACATTTTTACAATACATGTTTTTCACTATCAGATTTGTTCACGTGCATGGCCTGAGTAATGTGAATTTAATAGGCTTTTAGCATATCTATAATATCTGGATTTATCGTTTTTTTGCTAAATATGTGTTTTGCAAGATCTCCAATTGACTCTTTGATATCTTTGTGGAATTATCGGGCATGAACATAGTTATTATAGAATATGTTGCATGTGTGTCAAGCAATGTTGTTCTGTTAAACAAACTTTACACATGAGGATACATAGTAGTTCATAGTAGTTCTATTAAGTGTTAGATGTTTGTTAGGAAAACACAATACTGTATATCAACATATTGGTTAATTAAACTACAATTAATCGGTTTCATAGACTATATGTTTAACAGAAACATCAATACTTATCGTTATATATATATACTATTGAACCCGTCAGCTGCTCCAGGCATATCTTCACTGGCAGCTGGGCCACCGCATTGAGCACACCTTGGTGAACACTCACTCACGTGATAAGTCAACTTCCAAACGTGCACCGCCCCTGCCCTTGTGCGAACGACACTTGGTATTGCTCCGCGAATGGCCGGGGTCAGCGGTGGGATTCGGTTGGGGTTTGGCACTGGCTACAAGGGGCGAGTGTATGGAGGGGTAAGAACCCTTAAGCAAGGTTTGGTTGAAGTCCTGAGCCGTTTGTATATAGATGAAGACTTTAAGAGCACTTGTGTTTTTGGGATGGATTGATGATTCGCGGTTGGGCATGGTGCCATTATGGGCAGGAACTTGCAGCAGGACTTGCCATCAAGCCTTCCATCACCCTGCTGCCCATGTTTGGTCAACTCCGCCCTTCCGGTCGCTGTTACTTGATTCCCCAGCCGCAAATCGGCAAAATCACGTTTCTAAAGGACTTTATAGAAGGCCGCTTTGCCCCCCTACCTAGAAGCAATGGCCTCCAACCTAGACAGATATTCAATTGTAAAATATGGTAACATGGTATATAAATTGCATAATTGCACTTCTTTTGTGCTTTTACCAGACTCAACTGAGGCAGACAACGTTCCCACCCATGTGATGTCCCAAGTTGGCAGACAACGTTGTCCCCGCATGTGCGCCGACGCTGAGACGCTGAGGACTTGTCGATGAAGCCTACGAGGACATGGTGGCCAACTTCATGTCACGTTTCCTCGACATAGACCTGGCAGAGACCACAGGTGGGACGTGACCAACGGAAGTGAACAGTAGTTGGTGTAGTTGGTGTTGTTGCCAGGCTTCCCATACTTCCAAAGAACTTGGATAGAAGGTCATAAAAGGCAAAAGGACATTTGTTGATTTGCTATGCAAGTAATTACATGTGTGTAGGGGGAACTGTTTTTTTGTTTTTTAACAAGACGTTTTGGATACTGGACCGTTGTTGACCGCTGTCACAACGAGATCAATGGCAGAGAGCCTTGAAGGCCATGTGACCATCCGCCGTGTGGACTATGAGACAGACTATGTCAAGGAATCTGAGAACTTTCCAGGACGCCTGCTCGCTCAGAGACACCGTTAGCTGGTTACTGAAAATAACTTCCTCACTACCCTCATTCAAACTCTTTCAGCCAAGATTCAGTATATAGAAGAAGCCTTAGGTAAAAGCCGTCCGAAGTTTCCAACGACCTGACTCACAGGGAGCTACTAGTAACAAAGGGCATCGCTACTAGTAGCAAGGTTGCTACTAGTAGCTCCTGGCATCGCTATTAGTAACAAAAAGCTACTATGTGCTAAGATTTCGATACCGGTTGGAAAATTGCATGAAATGGACGGACCCGTCCGAATGCAACAAGACTCACGCAAGACTCACGGCGGGCCAGGACTCTCCACGATTTTTGCCTTGTACAGTGTTTACTTCACCCTGGACATGAAGTTGCCCCTGAATTTTGGCCGGCCCATTGTGCGCTCGCAGAAGGTGGGAGAAGCGTACTTTTTGATCTTCAAAACTTAAATAGCTAAACATCTAAAATGACTCCCCCCCCTTGCAAACAATCGAGGGAGCCTGAAATTGAGTCAACCACCAGAACTATTTGGGAATTAGTAGCAGTAGTTTTTGTTGATGTAGTTGCAGTGGTAGTGAAAGTAGTAACAGTAGTTTAGCAGTGCTCAAGCAAACCTCAGAAGAGCTTTAAAGGGCGGCAATAGCAGAACAATAGAAAAGTAAGCTTAGATATTTGCCCCAGGGCTTCAATTTGGCGCATTAATCCAACCCTCTAAACAGTTCCTATTACGCCGCTCAAACTGCTTCTATTTTCCTTGTGCAAACAAAGGGCTACAGGTGAATGCCCATGCTCAACCGTTCAAGCTTCACAAGACATGGAAAAGGCTGTGCCGTTTCTGCTCCCCCCTCCCGAGTTCGTCGGGTTCTCAAAAGAGGAAGGCACAGCTTCACAAACCAAGCGGACTCAAGCCTTCGTAGGATGGGTCTCAGGTGGTGACTCTAAGCAAAGACAGCACGAAACTATCAAACAAACTCAGACCGGTGTCCATTCCCCATTTGAATGGCCTGGTCATGAAAAAGCACGCAAAATCAAACCTAGCTCTCTCAGCGGGTCACCATAGAGCGCTTCCTTCTCGCCCTTCACCGGTTGCAGCCAAGAAAAGAAGAGGCTCATACCCTTCCATTGCGATTTGAGGTAGCACATCGAACGGGATCCTCTTCGATTGTCGACCCTGGCGAAGATCATGCCGTCCTCTGCCCACCCCAACGTCACCACTCCAGCTGTGATGCCATCTCGCGGTGGCGGAGCTGAAGCTTCGGAGTCAAACAACTTCTTTCTCATGTTCGAATGCCGGTGCACCAATACCTGAATCGTGCCACCTAGCACCTTTTGGTTGAAGGTCATAGGAGCCCCATGAAGTCGGTCTGGGAAGAGCTCTGCCATCAGACCTGGTGGAAACATCCATCGAAATTCATAGAGCTCTTGATTCTTCAGCCGAGTGACAAAATCGATCATAGTCTCACCACTCCTGGCTGTGTACACACCCTCAAAAAATGCATGACTAGGACTCGCCGGGATGTCTTCCGTGTGCCCAGTTTCGCCTTCCAGGGGTTCTGCAATGATGTCTTTGTGAGGATCTGAGTGGACCCTGGACAAACGCCGTGCAGCAACGCCAGAGCTTCCGAAGCCCCCATCTCCTCGCTCTGTAGATGACAGAGCCCTTGAACTCACTGCTTCCACCACAGCAAAGCGCTCAAGAACCAACTGGCCAACACGGTCACCAGCATTGATCACGAGGTCATCCATCCCATTGTTCACCAGGATGATCTTCACTTCTCCTCGATAATCAGGGTCAATCACACCTCCAGCAACGTCAATACCCCGTAGGGCGAAAGAGCTTCGAGAAGCGATCCTGCCATAGCAACCTGCGGGCAGCTCCACAGAGATTCCCAACGGGACCAGCTTCCTTTCCCCCGGCTTCAGCTCCACATAGCATGATGAAGCTAAGTCCCAGCCTGCCGCTTGAGAAGATGCCCTCGTTGGCAGACTTGCTTGGTCATCCAACAGCTTGACTTTCAGCTGCTCCTTCTTGCTGAACAGCTTCTTTGCCAACTCCCACCCCATCTCCTTGATGAAGTGAAGGAAGCAGACCAAACCCGCCAACATCAAAAGCCACCCTTGATCCGCCCATGAACCAGTGGTTTGTTCCCCCCTGGTCTCCTTTATCTCACACGTCTCAGCTGCTTGGGACTGCGGAAGAAGTGCTGCCCCGGCAACCAACAGCGACAGTGATTTGAGCATCTTGACATTTGGAGAGGTGGTGATCACCTGTGTCTCACATCGACCCCCCTCATCGTTCACCGCCAAGGAAGGATCACCCAGCCAAATGCCACGACAGAAGCGACTCAGCACCTGTGTAGGAAGAGGTTTTGTCAACCCATCAGCCCATAGAGAGGTGCCTGCACGATGGTTCAACGTGGTTTCTCCGACCTTCAACGACTCTGCAAGACAGCTGGCGCGAATCCGTAGATGCCGAGTCCTCCATCCCCCTCCTGCACCTGACGCCAGAACCACCGCTGCGCGATTGTCGTTGAAGATCTCCAAGTCGACCTTATCAAAGAGCAGGTTCACCAGAGATCTCACCGATCTACCAGACTGTATAGGCCCTCCACGATCGCGGTCAGCTCCGCTTCTGCTGTCGAAAGAGCCATCAAACTTTGCTTCTTGCTCTCCCACTGTATTGGGCACCCGGCCAAGAGGATGATGGTACCCGAAATACTGTGGCTATCACCAGGGCAGAAAGAAGCATCCACCAACACCTCCAACGTTCCCTCGTGGCGTGGCTGACTCCTCTTCAGATCCGGGGCTGAGTCCTCCGGAACATCCTTGGTGTAGTGAAGGCCATAGTTCAAGGTGCCTCTGAGATATGCCAAAACTGCATCGCCCAACTCCACTGTCCACCGTGGCTTCCATCTTCATGATTGCCCACGACAGATCGGGCCGCGTCTTACCAGACAGCCAGAGGAGTTCCCCTGTTATCTTCTGAGCTTCCCTGACCTTCGGCAGTGAGATTGCCTCGTCCTCCTCCTTCTCCTCGGGCACCCTGATGAAGGGTGTTGACGAGCCATAGGGATGACGATCAATGACCTCCCTGGTATAGCAGCCTTGGTGCAGGAAGTACGACCCATCCTGCAGCCGTTGGATCTCAATCCCCAGAAACCTCATAGAGCTGCCACCCACGTTGGAGTACTCCGGGGGTGAGGTAGACCACTGCTTCTGGATCGCTCTGGAAGCTGCCTCCGTGATCAACCGTGGTCCAACCATGAGGATGTCATCCACATAGACGATCATGTGGCCCCTGACCTTTCCCCATACTTTGGTGCCCTCCTTCTCGGAAGTGGAGAACTCTTGGATTGCCCAAAGGTTGGGATCCTCCATAGGGCGAAAAGCCACTTCAACGTTTCCTTGCCTCTCTTCTACCACCCCGATCATCTTCTGCAGCTCCGAATCGCGAAAGGTGCTCCAGTCCTTGGGCGAGGTTGTCAGGCCATACATGGCCGATGTGACCAGCCAATGTTCTCCAGGCTCAGCCAGCCTTGCTTCCTCCAAGATCTTGGGTGGTCTAACAATCACCGTTTCTCCTTGAGCTTTGGGAGCAAGCAAGAAAGCCGATTTGACGTCCAGGGACAAACAGTCCCACCGGGATGCCAGGCGCAACACTGTCCTTAGCTGCGTTGAGTCAGCTCCAGTGGCATAGACTTCTTCTCCTGTTCGAGCCTCCATGTGATTCCCGCAGCACACTATTCTTGACCTCCGCCTGCCATCTCCCGCTTTTCTGGTGAAGACACCCATCCCGGGGATCAACTCAGCCCTTTCTCCTCTCTTCTGGGCTTCTGACATGATTCGGTGGGTGGTCTCCTCATCGATCCGCTTGATGGCATTGTTGCTATCAAAGTTCTCAATCTCAGTGCGGAGCGAGGGAATCCACAAAGGCAAAGACTTCCTCACCTCTTGGAGACTTATAGTTCTTGTCTGCAGAAAGATCTCCTCATCCTCTCCTGCCACTTGAGCTGCTTCCACCTCCAATTTTTTGCAGGAGATCGCCAAGTCCTGGACCAACTTTTCAATCTTCTCATTCTCGGAGTCCAGATCAAAGACGGTTGCCACCGAGCAATCCTCTCCACCCAGGTTTGTCTCTAAGCGGCCGAACTCCTCATTGGCCCATGCCTGTCCTCGGTGAAGACGCTCTTGTAGTTCCTGGGCTGACAAGTAGGACAAAGCTGTCTTCTCGTACAGCCTTCTCTTGGGAACTGCAGCACCGTCCAGGATACAAGCCGGTTCCGACCTTTCCTTCACGTTCACCACATCTTCTAGCGAAGGAGGTTCCTCTGCCAAGACCATATCATCGGTTCGGATGTACTTGCGACCCTCAATCTCCACCAGATGTCCGCCACTTGTCAGACTCATCTCGGGATCGGGCCCCCGAACCACACCGGGCTTCTTCCTTTGTCTCCAGTGCCCCTGGAAGTCATCCCAGCCCTTGGTCGTGACCATGACCTTCCTCCCCCACGGCATCAAGCTTGGAGTTGAGAAACCCAAGGCCTGGAGTTGTAGTCGTCCTCGACGTTCACCCACGTGCTTCGCCATCAATGGCCACATCTCTTCCCCATCACCTGAAGCACGAATCAGCCTGTTGATGCCCCGACGGATCACCCCCACCTCTGCTTCGGCCCGACCGTTTGCTTTCCAGTCACTGCCGCTGGTGAAGGTTCGGTAAATGCCTCTGGCTTCGCACCACCTTCTCGTCCCAAGCATCTCTCCAGCTCCATCACTGTGAACGCGTCTCACCTCCATGCCCAGGTACTTCAGCCGGGCTAGCATGCGGGCCAATCCCGCCTTGAGCTCCGGACCTTGTCGAGAGGTCAGCGTCTCCACCACAATGTAGTTCATCACCGCCACATCCTCAGCCTCGACTTCCAATCTCTCCCACTCTTCTAGAGCCTTCTGATCCCCTTCCTGGACTGGGACTTCCTCCGCTTCTTCTTCTGGCAACAAGACTTCATCTTTTGCTTCCTCCTCCGGTGTCTCCATCACCTTCAAGGCGTCCAACATGCTTTGAGGCAACGGAATGGTGCCATCTGCATTTTTCCGAACAGGAATAGCATAGACGCCCACCAGGAAATACTTGGATTTCTTCCGGAAGTCTTCACCTGGGCGAAAGGGACCACAGATGTCCAGGCTCAAGGTCATCGCATCTGGATGTGCCACCTTCTTATGGGGTCTGCTTTTGCCGGCTCCTTTCAAGCATGTGGTGCACTCCCTCGAGAACGGGGTGTGATCCTGCAGTACATGACTTCGCCACTGCTCTGCCGTCATCTTGGCCACTGCTGGACGATCATCTGGGTCGCCTGGGCACGGACGCCTGTCCAGTACAAGCAAGATGCCCTTGACGATTTCCTCCTTGAACTTCTCCGGCCATGCCGCCCAGCCCCTGCTTTGTGACACTCTCTGCTCAATTGAGACCTGGGCATCCAGCATTTGACCATGATCACGACAATCAGAAAGTCCCTCCAAGCTGGCCAGATGAGGAATATTTGTCCCCAGTGTTGTTGGCTTTCGACGGGAGTGTCCCAATGCACCCAAATCCAGACGTACCTCCTTCAAGTTGAAGTGAGATCGGAACTCCTGCCATTCCGGCCAAGCATAAAAGGACGGGTACTCATTGGTGTCATTCTTGGCCTTGTACTCCTCAGGGTCACGAGGATGCTCCTTGAGAAACAGCACCAGGCGCTTTCTGGCTTGACTGGCCAACAGATAGAGCCACAACTGCCTCATCCAGAGCACTGAGTCGCTCCATGCCAGTTCCCTCATCGAATCAGACAAGTCTGACAATGCAAAGCGCTCTGGACCATTTCTTGCTCGAAGTGGTGGAGGTCCCGGCCTCCTAAAGCGAAGCTTTGAGACTGTCCGGCAAGGAGGACCACCCAACACCACGTCTACGACACCCTTCTCGCACACCTCCGCCAAGTAGCTTGTGAGCTGGTCGGACAAGAGATCTTGATTGGCATCCGCGGTCTTGTCAATGCACACCACGGTTCTGGTACGTGAATCCAATCGCTTCTTCCACCAAGCTTGGTCTGGACCTGAAAAGAGGTGCAGGATGACGGAGTCACTGGCCGAGATCTTTTGGCGTTGACGTCGATTGAGGGGAACAGACTCTCCTGTCCACCTGCCAGTTGGGATCACCCTGGCAATCAGTTCGTCAGGTACTTCTGGCCACAGCTCTCGGAGGTCTTTGAGCCACTTCCAAACATTCGGGGCCAGATCACCAGGATCGCCAGCCTTCAGTGCTGCCACCCTCCGAGACAACGTCGCCTCGAACTTCTCCAACTCTTCGATCAGCCGATTGGCGGTCTTGATGTCCACCGTAGGGCAACCAGATTCCAGGACCACCTCCACCTTCTCCCCGGCTGAGTTTGACATTTCAAAGTTGTCACCCTCCCATTTCACACGATAGCCCAGCCTCACGACCTTGCCCAAGGGGACTATGGTCTGGGTGTTGAAGTCGGTGATGAGGGTGCCAGTTGTCTCCACCTGTCGAAGAGTCGTGACTCCTGCAGCCAACTCGACCTTGATGGGAATAGCCTGCTGGAACTCCTTCTTTGATCTCGCCGGTCTCAGGACATGGGTTGCACCACCATCAAGTAGGGCTCGTCCATTCCCTTCTGCCGGAGTGACTGAGCGCATGCACATTGCTTTCAAAGATGGCCTCAAGGACTTTAATAGCTGGACCGCCTCCTTCATCAAGTCCTCTGAGGGCTGCACCGGCGGCGGATGGGATCCTGCTCCTCCTGAAGCATCACTTGGTTGCCCACCACCTCCATCACCCCCTTTGGAAACTCCTTCTTTATTTTTGATCTCTTCCGTGATCTCCTTTTTGACCTTTGGCACGTCCTTCACTGGACAGTCAGGCTTCATGTGCTGGGTGGATCCGCAAGACCAACACCGGCCTTGCTTTGAAATACCCTTCCAATCATGAGGAAAAGGGCACTTCTGTCCTTTCTTGCAGCCATTGTCCGACAAGAAGTAGCGACACACCGGCTTCTCCGAACCACCACCCTTCGAATCACCCTTGCCGTTCCTCGCCTCGACCTTGTCGTTCTTGGACTCCTTGGCATCTTTGCCACCCTTGACTTCGGATGACTCCTTGCCCTTCTCCCGACCCTCACGAGGCTTTCCCCCCTCGTCTCTGGTTCCTCCTCCGTCACCATCGAGGGCCTTGACCTTCACGGTGTCCTTGAGTGGTGCAATCGAGCCCCCATGAAAGGCCGCTTCTCCCTCCGCCATCAGAGACTCTGCAAACTGCTGGATGCCATTCTCGGTGGGAGCCACGTCAACTCTCAAGGCTGCACGGGTGACCTGCAGACGGAAGGCGACTTGAGTGGACTGCTTGGCCAACCCAGCCGCGAACCTATCCAAGGTGGCCAAGAGAAGGACCGGATCAGGAGGTTGAATTCCAAGTTCCTGTACTCGAATCAGCCACCTCCTCCAAGCACGAAGTGAAGTGAGCCAACCCCCAACGGGCCGGGGACTTTCTGGTCGACCAGCTGCTTGAAGAGGGTCGTACGCTCACCAAGCCCACCAGGTTGGTAAACTCGCAAGACCTTGAACACGATGCTGACGGAACTCACCTCCCTTTGCGAGACCAACTCTGACCTCAGAGACTCCGGGATGGCCTTCAAGAGTGCAACAGATCCTCGTTGCTCAATCCTCAGCCATGGTGGCCGTTGGAAAGCCGGTGGCGTGACAGGAACCAGGCGAAGTCTTTCCATTGGTTCGGAGTTCAACCACAGCCTGTATAAAGCACCGGCCACATTCAAGACCTCATCCCACCAAAGCGAAGAGCTGGTGCTAATGTCCCGCAGGAAGGGCCCAATCGTTGTCAACCAATCTCCAGCTATCAAGGGTCCAATCTCCGACCACCTGCCGGGAAGCCGCCTCCACCAGGAAAACCTCCGCCTCCAGGAAAGCCTCCGCCCCCAGGAAAACCTCCTCCTCCGGGAAATCCGTTCGGAGCACCAGGAAACCCGCCAGGAAACCCTCCACCAGGTATCCCACCAGATGGCTGTCCAAACCCGCGGCCTCCTCCATTCGGCTGACCACCTCCGTGATGACCGCCTTCATGATGACCACCTCCCTGATGACCACCACCCGTACCTCCTGACGAACCGCCGCCTTGACCATTCCGATCAGCTGTTTGTTGAACTGCTGGACCACTCACCGATGACTCTTTCGAGTTCTGACCCTGGCCACCCACTGGATCTTGGGGTTCACTTCCACCAGAAAGACCTTGTCCCTGACCAGAGAGACCTCCGACCGTGCTACCCTGGAACTCGCCAGACACATAGCCCTTCGAGCTTCGACCATCGCCCCCGCTGGAGGCTCAGACCACGAGGAGGCAATCCCATGCCTCGCTAACGTTCTCGATGCCTCCAACATGCCATGCATCATGTCCCCCGATGTAGAAGAGACACGATTGAAGACCTCCATCAGGCTGGCTCTCGGCCCCCCAACTTGCCCATGAAAAAGTCCCGGATCACCGGCAGAAACATGACCAGCACTATGCCCTCTACCGTCTCGACCATTCGACAGCGGCCCCAAAAGACCTTTACCACCATCTCGCCCTGGGGACACCCTTGAGGACCTCAATGACTCTAGCATTGACTCCATGACATTCTTTTCTCGATGTTGACCCTCTGGCATCATGCCATACATCCAAGGTGGTGGATGATTGAAAGGTGGATTGCCCCAACCATGGTTTGCCTGCCCTGCCGACCATGATTCCCGCTCTGACCAAAGGCGCGCATTTTCAGACATGAGGCCATGAAGAAACATGCGAAAGGCTTCGGCTCCTTCTTTCGGTGGCGAGGAACCTGGATCAGGCAGCAGCTCCGTCCCCTCGGATGGGAGATCAGCAGGCCTCAGGGCCCGAAGTACAGCTTCCTCCTGCATTCGCTCAGACCAGAAAGGATTGTACGTATTGGGGCCCAAAACCACAGGCGGACCACAAGGCCTCATCAGGCCGTCTTTGGGACCAGCATCTTCTATGGCCTTTAGGCCATTGGACTCCGGCGTCTTTTCAGAAGCCGCTTCTTCACTCATTGCGTCACCCTGAAACCCAAAAGCACTCAGCGTACCTTTGGGCTCATAACCTACGCCGCTCAAACTGCTTCTATTTTCCTTGTGCAAACAAAGGGCGACAGGTGAATGCCCATGCTCAACCGTTCAAGCTTCACAAGACATGGAAAAGGCTGTGCCGTTTCTGCTCCTATAATTCACTTCCCCTGGGCTTGTGCACTACCCCTTGAACAATTGTTTGGGGCAATGATTTTGATGACTGGTAATACGGGTTGTTGAAAAAGGCTTTCAGGTCAGAGTTCCACGAGTGGTTGGGTCAAATTTGTATACATCTCAAGTAATAAACCCACCAGCTCTAAGAAAAAGACCCTGGGCAAAAGAAAAGTATTACTACATATTACTACAAAAACATGTAGATGTTCGGATTTTCGTTCGAGGTCCATGTCTCAGTGGTTGGAGTTGGTTGAAACAGCTTCAATGGCATGTCAAGCATGGTTTGCATCGCATGCTTCCGACTTGTTCTCTTCAACCAAGTCCATTTGCCCTTGGTGTTCCTGGAAGTTCTCCACTGTTCTCCACAATATGCCGTGGCCTGCTATGACACACCCCATGTCTTGCTCCAGGCCTCCACAGAGGGTGTTGAAGAGCTGTGGCGCTGGCGGCCGGACCCATTGTGTCCAAGTCAAGTCTCCCATCGCTTCTCGTCGAGAAAAAAGGAAGACTTTCATTGGTGTGGAGTGTTATTTTTCCGCGCAGCAAGTGGAGAGACTTCGTCGACAATTGAAATCATGATGTAAGTCAATATACAGTAAATCACATTTGATGTTGCATGATTGCTTGCTTGGGGATGGCCCGTCCAGATAACTATGTTGTTATGAGCTTTTCTGCGCCGTTTGTTCCCTTCCGTGGGCTTCATAGACCACTCAGCTGCATCGTTCTTGACTGCCGACTTGGCTGTTCAAAGCGGCGGCATGAGGCACAGATTTGTCAACGCTCGAGATGCATCCCAAGTATGACTCTTGGACCTTGGAGGTCTAGCAACAAGAAGCTACTAGCAACATCTAGTAACAAAGGGCGTGTAAGGATAACATCAGGGAAAATCAGGCATCTTACAACTCCTGTCATGCCACATCATGCCACAGCAGTTTTTTTGCCGGGGCCGGCACCGAGCAAGTTCTTACCCATTGCTTGGGTCTACTTGTGACAAGAAACTCGCGGGTTTGAATCTTTAGTTGAAGAGTCACTTGCCTATTATACGTTGACTGGTACTATATTGCTATTACCTTGCCAATTCTGCATGTCGTTTTTCTTCGCGGCGAAATCCAAAACAACGACAGAAACGATGCCAGTGTTGCTCGCGGAGAATTGGAAGGAGACAAAACTCATAGAGGTGGTAGATTCCAGACTCGTTGATGCGACTCCTGAGAAGTTAATGGCTCCTCCAGATGTTCTGGAGACTTTTTTGCTTGTTTTGTTTGTAAGGATCACATCATCAATCTCTTGGAGAAAGCCTTTCAATTGGATGAAGCTTCCAAAGCCGTCCCTCAGACTTTGGACAACACCCATATTTCTGTGACAGAAGTGGTGCTTTGTGTATTTTTGATAAGCTTGGTAACCAGATACTTTTAGGTCAACAGTGACAACTCGAGAAACATGCAAATACAGTGATAGTCGGCCTTGTTCAGCCGTTTGTCGCAAGTCAGACTTGGGCTCTACTAAGTATTCAATTCACTATAGGTTCATCAGGGGCATCGAGAGAAAGAGTAGCAGTGTAAGACAGACAGCGGCTGGAAGCCGTTGTGTAATCTTTTGTTTTGGAGGCGTGCGAGGGCTGTTGCCATTGGAGGAATTGAACCATATGTGCACCTTTTTCAACACATCCTCCCCACACAGGGCATATACTGTTACAAACCAACCTCAACCATGCTTAGCTCCCAAGACTCATGATATCAGGTGCTTTGTGTTCTGAAGAGCAGCTTTGATGGAACAGGGCCGGTCCTATTGCTCGTTGCAGTCTTCCGCACTTTGTTCGCAGGGAGCGGAGGGCATTGTGAAGCATATTGGGGTTGTATGATAACCCCCCCAGCAGGCAGTTTAGTGGGAGGAGTTCCCAGAGTACCTGCATTGAGCAAAAACCCCGGAAAACGATAAGAGGAACAACCAGCGATAACGACGGATGACATCACATGTTTCGACAGGGACATGTTCAGAGACTGCTTGCAGTGTGTTGCACGTTTATATTTGGAGCTGGATCTGTGCGTCCATTTGCTGACATGATTGAAACCAAAGTTCGCTCTAGAGCTCGCCCAAAGCTATCGTTGGAGGGTATCAGAACGCACGCGATAAGGTTATTAAACGACGCTCAATTTCCCTCATCAAGATACTTGTTCTTTCGGTTTCGTGTGCCCATGCCTTTGAAGCCCAGTACCCAAACTGCCAGCATTCCTTCTACATCAACCTCTCATTCGTTCCGCAATCTGCATACGTCGGTCGCGCCACCGGACCCATCCGGAGTGAAAGAACCGTGCGCGACCGTTCGATTTCTTCGGGCAGTTTGGGATCCTTTTTCTCAACCCATTGCAATGTCATATCCCAAAAACGATCAAGAGGAATGCAAACCATGCATTTACTATAGACACCTAACCCCTTGGAAAAGAGGAAACAACATCCAAAAGGAGACCGGATGACCTCGGTATACAAATTCGCAACGAGCAATGGCACAGGTGAAATGAAAAGAAGCTGGGTGTTTTTTCACAAGAAGCTTCACAACCCATGCGAATTAGTGTATTGTAGACATATGATATGATATGATGTTATATATATATATACATATTACACGCATCATAAATTCAATATATATATATATATATATTATATGTATATACTATACCGGGGTCCTGAGTGGATGGTTTTTTTCGCTGTAGTTTGGCCTTGGGATCTCCACCCGTGAGGCCCTTGGGGCCCTTGATCTCACTGCATAATATTTCATGAGTTTAATCCTTGCAGTTTGTCTACGCACTATCCTGGGGCAATCGAGGTTGCAAATGTGTGGAAACTGCGCATGATGCAAATGCCTGCGCAGGTGATGTTCACCACCGACTGCCGGGTTTCACCACTAATTAAGCTTCCGCCCAACGTTGGGATGGGTTCGAACTGCTCAGGGCCAGCGGTGGTCACCACAGAGATACTGATGGTCCAGGTGATGTGGAATACCTCAGATGATGAGGTGCTTCCGCGGAGCTGCTGGACCGGCGGAGGAAGAAATCAAATTGAAGGAACAACTGCTTGTGAGATTGATGATCCTACTTCTGGCAACAACTAGGTGGACAATTTCATGCAGATTTCGTGAAGCGAACAGGTTTGTTTCTGGTGTCCTTCTCATCTACCATTATTTGGGATACCCAGGACTTTTTGAGCTGCACCCAAGCTGGAGGAACGGGGAGAAAGTTTCAACCGAGAGATCTTCAAGTCAGGATGTTTGTGGAACTTCCCAACTACCCAAGTGAGCAACTTGGGTGGTTAGAGTATGGGGGTGTGGCTGGCAAGTGGTTTGGTGTTTTGTTTTGTTTTTCCTTTGTGGAAGTCCATTGCAATCAGGCGGTGGTTGAGCCAAGTGAGATTTTTTCAGATGCTTTCTGAACAGGAAAGTGCTTGGCACTTCTCAGTGGTATGCAATTTCAAGGTTCAGAATTAAGAACATGAGTATCACTGCTGCCCCTTGAGTTGCAGAGTCATGCAACACGTGACATGCTCATGCTCCGTGGCAAACACCGCACGTCGCACGTCCTCTTCGTCTCGTGCGTCGTTTGGTTTGACGGGTCGTCCCGCGCGTCATCTTCGGTCGTCCCGGCAGGTCTTCGAGCAGTCCCGTGCGGGGAGCGAATTGATGAAGGAGCTCAGCAACTCCCAGCGTTGTGTCCCAGGAGAGTTGGACAAAATCGGCCGGCCTGAAGAAGTGTCCCATGTGGGCCGGGCCTTCTCGGTGGGGATGCTATTTGTTTTTCTTCCAAAGACGAATGGAGGGGTGAAGAACTGCATGTGTTCCATTATGATGATTATATATATATATAGTATTTTACTTTTATATACATGTTTCTCGCTTTTCTCCACAACAATCGTGGCAGCCAGCGGGGTTTAGCCGCTACTGTATAGGAGAGAAACATCAGTTACATCAGTTGAAGCAAGAGGGATATGTGGACTGAACATGTGCCCCGGGGAAAGTTCCACTAGCTACGCTTTGTCACCAGTATGACAGGCGTTCTTCAGAGACTTGGTCATGAGATGGACTGGTGCCAGGAGTTGATGGACTGGCTTTGCAAATTGGCGGCACTGCGAACTACTTCTGGGACACCAGCCTCTTGGATCGAACACATTCAACACGGGTGCAGCCAGAGAAGTAGCCAGGGATATGTGTGTTTGAGTTCTATTTTATCCTTTATGGGATGCTCCAAATTGTTGAATTGCACAATTGCTTTTGGATGCTTTTGGGCTATGTTTTTGTAATTTGGTGCGGTTCGAAGTTCCTGCCTTCTTGTAGTGATCTAAAGACACACCTTTTCCAACCCCTCCAGGGTTGATTCTAACATCTCATCTCGCGGCGCGTTGCGGCTGGCGCAGATCGGAAGATGGCTTTGCAAGCCTTCGCGCTGCCGGGTTCTTGTCTTGAGCTACCGGAACTCTCTCAGGCACGTAGGATCATGGGATTGGGTGGCACAATGGATACAGTATATTGCACGATGTGTGTTCCACTGTTTGCTCAGTATATAAACAGTAAACTTTACTGTATAGTGTTTTATGTTATTTTTTGGGGGGGGAGTAGGTACTTTGGACTTTAGGATGTTTCGTCATGTTACTGTAAACGCTGTCAAGTTGCTGTTTTTTTCTGCAAAAAAGAACCTGACCCATCAGCTTCAGAAGTCCGGTTGGGCAAGCACCGGGAAGTGTCAAAAGGACCTGACCCACCCACTATTGTCAAGGGGGTTGTTCCTGATTCTGCACCCCAAAATGAAGTCCACCCAGAAATAAGCCGTGCGTGCCTCCTGTGGTCAGGCCACATTGTCTCGCAGCATCCAAGCATCTTGGCGGAGCAATGGTTGGAATGGAGGACTCAGCAAGACTGATTGTTATAAAGCTGATTGAAACGCTCCCTGCAAAGCCAACAGGCTCCCGATTGAAATCACATTCTGTCGCGGACTATGCGACTAACAAGACCGTGGAAAACTCAAAACTTATGATACGTCAGACCCACGACATCCCACTACTCTAAATCCAACAAAGAATATATATATATATAGTAGAAGAATAAATACCGCAGATTAACATAAGAACCCCCAAAATCACTGGGTTATAGAGGAAAATGGTGTTCTACGGGTGAATTCTCAGGTTCCATGTTAGTTTGCGGGGGGTATCAGCCACCACTCCCACCCCAACCACCGCCCAGCCACCGGTGGTCTTGCTTTCGGAGCTGCTCTCGGCGACCTTTGGCCGCGGCGTTCGCACACCGCTGCTGAACCAGCTCGTGTCCCGCTTCGAAGGCTGGGCTAAGAAAGGAAACAGGAATGGACCGCCCAGCAAGGCTGCGTTTTTCGGCTGGTTTAACATGCCAGAAGCAGCGGTCCTTGGTCTTGCCAATCTGGCCGTCTCTTACGTGCTAATCAATAGGGCATAGGGCCATATGATAAGAAGACATCGCTTCGAAAGTCAGACGATGCATGTCTTCTCCTCACGGCCACACACCCTCTCGGGTGATATACAGTTCCGACGCACAGACCCAGGGTGAGCACCGTCTTGCGGCGTCGTCTCGTGCAGGTGTCTTGGGCCGTCTCGTGGGTCCCGGCAGTGTGTTGTCACGATTGACGCCTGGCTGATGTGGATCGATGTGTTGGGCCACATGTTGGAATGTTTTCCGAGCCTGCCAGATAGCTTGCGGACATCTGAGGATGGCTGGAGCTTTTCGAAGTTCGGTGGACTTGCTGGAGAGCTACAGCCTAGATACCTTGGCGTCGCTTGAAGCAAAGATGTGGCGGTCCAGGGGATAGGTTAAGACGATATCACCACACCAAGGAAGCTTTTCGCAGGCACAGCAGGCAGCACATTTGCAGACATGCACTGGCATCAGGATGCTAATAGCCATCAGCAGCAGCAGTGATTGGGTTTTCCTGTCAGCCTGGCTCGAACAGAACACATGTCCTTTACGAGTTCCTTGATAATCCAACGAAACTGCGACTCAATGATCAGGGGTGGCCTCTGCTAACACCCGGAAATCATCACAGTCCAGAAAGGGAATAGAAGCGACAATGCCACTCAACCCGAACAGCGATTTGCCCTCCCTCTAAGAAGTTCCCGTCCAAGAATAGGCCACAGAGGCATACAGAGGCAGCGACTACTGAGTTCAGGAAAAGTTGAGGACGAAGTCTATGTGGTAGAGGACGCTTGTTCATTCATGTGTCGATGTTTTAACGGTCAAGGCCCAGCTGAACCCAGCTGGGGCTGACTCCACCCTCTATCAACAGTAGAAACACCGACTTCATCGTGCTTCACTGTTTCTAGTAGCGTTTTTGTTCCTAGTAGTAAGGCCAGGAGCCCCGAACGTGGCGTCCGATCGCTCCGTTCGTAACGATGCCAGGAGCCCCGTTCGTAGCGTTGTGGTTTCTATTAGAGGCCCCGCCTCCTACCCCTCAGAACTCACAGTGAAAGAGGGTGGGGAGACGAGATCCAAGAACCAGGCAGCGCACGGCAGCCTGCATCAGGGTATCCGTTTGGATGATGTCACTATTCGGATCTATTCGGTTTACTTGACATCATGATATCATATGATATCTATGTTTGCTTGGTGGAGTGCAAGCCTATGTTCTTTGCTAATTTCTTTATCGCAGGAGGGCTCATCCCTGTCGTTGCGGTTCGTTGTGGTCCCCAAGGAGCATTGCAAATCCCACTTACCCGCTACACAACAGCCACAGCGTCTTCCATGAGAACATGGGTGGCCTCATCGACAAAATCTGCAAGTGCCTGGGCCACGCATTGGCAATAGAAGAAGGAGGCCCACATTGGTCAATGGCAGGACATTTCTGAGCTTCACACTGCGCCGCTGAGGCTGTGTGGCCTTGATCCGCCGCAAGAGGCGTTGAGGGAGAAGCTACAAGAGGTGGGGAGAACTGGGCAGTGAATTGACCAAGATGACCATTTAGTGCGTTTGAGGTGAGGGCGTTTGACTGCTTGATTCAGCCGAACCTTTGTACAAGCCGTCCAATCCCGATCCTGGGTGAGAAGGTTCAGCAGCTGTGCATCAAGATCAGCAGCAAGTATTGGAGAAAGGAGGCGGACATGGGTTTAATCGGGTGGTGATCATGTGTGTGTATGCGCGTGCGCGTGTGTGCTTTGTTGATTTGACCGAGCAGTGTTTCATTGGGAACTGGGTTTGAATCGAGGTGTCTTGTTTTTTGTAGCTGTATATCACTTACAGCTCTGGCATGGTCGAGGTGATATCCAGATGAGTCCTACTCGCAGTTTTCACTGAACCGTTGGCACCCCTTGGGATCCAACAGGGCACCCCCCGGTACAGTCCAACATGGGGCGGTTTGGGGTGAAAGCCACGCACTCGGGGTCCTACACAGGGCTGACTCGCACTCGGTCATGTCATGTATATAGTTTGTAGATCAATATGCGTTTTGTTTTTGTATACCCTGTTTGTCACTGGTCACCATTTGAGCCGACAGATTTCAGTTCCTAGCTGCCTTTGGCATCCTTTGGCTAGGCATGGAAGCCCTTGTGTCACTTGGCGCATGGAAATTTCAGCCCCAGCAGCATTGCTGTGGATGCCTTTGGCTCCACCTGGCTCTTCAACTGGGGAACGCCGCTACATCAATTGAGCTGGCAGCGTGGCAAAGCCGCTTGGTCGTTGGTTTGCTGTAGTTCACCGCGGTGCGATAAGTGGCCAGTGGCCCTCTCCACAGATGTTCGGGGAGTGCAACTAAATACTTGTTCACGAAATCTCTATTGGGTCCAGTACACACCTACCATGTATGTGCATTTCCGTCCCGTCCGACAACGTCCAGCAGATGTTCCTTCGTTCCGTCGTTCCAGGCCAAATGTGGAGGAGACCAGCCTGGACGCGGTGGTTTTCACGATGTTCACTGTGAACCAATCTACACTCCGATTCACTAACATGGAAATGGACGTTCTGGCCACTGGGAAGACCATTTTTCTGAATACCAAATATATGGTGGTATTCCACTTCCATGTTGGTGAGTCAGAGGGCACCCGCGGTCACGCGGCCTAGGGGTGATCGTTTCTTGGTGAGGTAGCAGGTAGGCAAAAGATTGGAGTGACTGAGAAGATATGTTGCTGGATCAGTCTTCTGGTAACCGACGACCGTAAGACTTTTTTTGCCGTGAAAAAGGTGACCAACGGCCTCGAAGCACCGCGAGTCGGCGACCAATGATTCAGAGGCCCTTGGTAGGTCAGAAGTGCAAACCATCACCGGTCTACCAGTGATGTTTGGCGACGATGAGAGCTTCTCCAAGATTGAGTTGGAGATACTGATAGGGCCAGTGATAGGATCCAAGAAGGGTATGAAGATCCATGAGGATCAGTATCCAAAAGGCTCCCCCGGTCCGGTGTTCTTCAATCCCTTCAACGACCCGGTGTTCCCCGGGCGACCGCACTCGCTCCGCTGCTCGGCCGTTCTCTCCGGAGGAGTCCAGCCCTTGTTTCGCGACCTGGCGCGGTTGTCCATTCGGCTGCTCCTGGAGGGCGGTCTTCCCCTACCAATGTCCTTGTCACAGGCGCTTTTCGGTATAGAGACCATGGGATGGGCTCGCAGGATGCGAGACCATGAAGCGAAGCTGTTTAGGATGCGGTGGTAGGATGCTGAACGGGGTGTTTAAGATCGGCTCTCACGCGCTGTATTGGCCAGGCGCAAGCGATTTGCACTGCACAGTGGGTCGACCTACCTGATATTTCCAGGTGCATCCGCGAGTCGTCATGGCAAGGTCAGTGAGATTTTGTGAAGCAGGGCACGAACCAAACGTTCAGACTGGAACCACATACATCATGATTATGTTGATGCGTTCTCACGGAACCTGTTTCGTGTTCATGCAGGGAGTTTGGAGTGTTTTTTGCGCATTCATCGCGACTACTAGGCAAAGTACAAAGCTTAAGGTGCTTTGATGTTTGTCCGTTTTTTCTTTTTTTGCTTGGCAAGTCTAGAAGCATCTTTGCAGGGGCCCCCTCTCCATCCACGTCAGTTGATGTCACTTGAACGTGAGAGAACTCAGGTGGTTGGATGTGCCTCAATCTGTGGCGTACCTTTTCCAGTGACTCACCTGCAAATATCGGAGGCCTAGGCCCAGGCTAGGCCTATGGGCTTAGCAGATCTGGGAAGTTGTCCAATTTTCTCCTAGGACCACCAGGAGCATCAATGAGTTTTGATTAGTTTTTAATGGTGACTCACAACAAGCTGCTGAAGGAAAGTAGAAAGTACACATCGTTCATGACGTTTTCTTACCTCACGATTCTTCCCATGCGCGAAGTCCTGGCGATCAAGGTGCCTTTGTTTTCTTTTGGGGGGGGAGGGTGGCCCAAAAGCACAATCGGAAATGACGATGACAGCTGATGACGACCATGCAATGATGATGATTATGATCACAATGGTTGAGCTAGTGCCAAGATAAATTGGACATTTGATAGTCTCAAGATGCACGCTGTGCGGCACTCATCTAATTACAACACTCTTGTAGGACAGTGTTGTGGGACACTCTTGTGAGGACACTTTTGTAGGGCACTCTTGTAAGACACTCTTGCTTGACATTTGTGAGGACACTCTTGTGACTCTTGTGTGACACTCTTGCGTCCTCCAAAACTCACGCATTGTGCGCCTCTCCATGTCAACTCTTGAAAATCACCCTTGTGAACACTCACGCGGTGTGAGGACACTTTTCAGAACACCACCGACTCACCGACACCCCGACCACAGCGACACCGTTCGGCGTTGACACCACGTCGCGCATGTGTCCTGGCGCCCCGACGGCACGGAACCGCAGCATGCGTGTGTACATGCAGTGTCGCTGGTGACCGGGAATCATTGTGGGGCATCTGGTGTGTGGCACACATTGCGGCAAAGTTGTGTCTGTCGCAGTGCCATGCAGCTTTTCCGCGGCGTGGCACTTTCCACCGACACTTTGGCAACTTCCACCTTGATTTTCGATGACTGCTTCACACCTTGGCAACTTCGACCTTTATTGTCGACGACCGTGGCGCAACTTGGCAGCTTCCACCTTGATTTTCGAATATTTTCGACGACTACACACTTTGACAACTCAACACACGCGATCTCCGCAAAGGACTCACCAACAACTGCACAAATTCGCATTTCACCGTGCGCACTCGATGCGCACGATCTCCGCAGAGGGCTGTTTCATGAAAATCATCCAGACCAGCCCGCCGCCAGGAAAGAAGATTGCAAAGATGTCGGTAGTTGTGGTTGTGCAGGTGAGTTTTGTAGGTGTGCTCACCTGTATCTCAACGCCTGTGTCTCTACACCTGTATCCACACACCTGCATCTCACCTGCATCTCTACACCTTGATGATTATGATTATTGTTGTTGTTAATATGATGAATATTACAGTACTATTATGATGATGGTGATGATGATGATGTACGTGTGTTGTAGCAGTTGTTTACATCAATCACTTGCATCCCTACACCTTGATGATGATGAGGAGGATGACGATGCTGATGCTGATGCTGATGATGATGATGATGATGATGATGACGATGACGATGACGATGACGATGACGATGATGATGATGATGATGATGATGATGATGATGCTGAGATGATGGGTTGTGATACATTGATGGTGATGGTGGCGGTGACTGCTATGGTGTTGGTGATGCTGGTTGGACAGTCGAAGTTGGCAACCATTCCTTACGGAGGGCCCTTTGCTTTCGGGAAAAAATGCAGGCGGATGATGTTCGACACCGAGTTTCAGAAGTCTGATCAGCGGGCGACCCGGGCACAGGCGCAGTTGGAGGTCCAGTGGAGGGTGTTGACATTTCTTGCGTTTGGCCGGCCTCCCTCTCTCTCTAGCATGTGGTGTCCCAGTTTCTTGGAGTTTGTGTGCTGGGCAAACTGCCCAAGCAAGTTTCAGCCGCTGGCCGCTAGGGGCCACCAGGGCACTTAAGTGACTTGACCGAAGAAAGCTATGCCAGGCCTCTCGCCGTGTGAGCAAGTTGCTGGAATCTACCTCAATGCTTGGAAGTTATGGGATGGACCACTCGCAGGGAAGGCTCTGACGGGTTGAGTAGGGGACTGGCGGGTTCACAGGCAGGTTTGGCTGCTAAGCTAGATGCACAGATGTTCTGCAACCATGGGATGACTCACTGGGGAACAGTGAAAGAGAGCGAGAGAGAGAGAGAGTGTAGTTCTTTCGGTTGAGGAAGATGCCCTGCAATAATTCGTTCATGTGAAGAATGGCGTTGTTGCTTGTTGATGCCCAAACCGGAATGAATAAGCAACCTGTGGTTGTGGTTGTGTTTGTGGTTGTTGTTGTTGTTGTTGTTGGAAAGCAATGCATGCCATGCTGCTATTCTCAGACTATCCGGTCCAATGAATGCCCGGATGCCCTGTATTACAAGTTGTGTTTTGGCATTACAAGGTGTGCATCAGTCGAGTCGTGGAAATCCAGGCTGGTGGGCCGTGAGGAGGATGCGCGACGAGCCTTTCAAAACGCTGAAGCGTTGGCGGATGAGGTGATGCGTGCCTTGGGCAGGTCAAGCTGTTGGCGAGTTTTGCTCGTGAAAAATCCGACTTTGAAGGTGTGCTCTCTCTCTCTCTCTCTCTCATGTTATTTCCGTGTATTCTACTGGACATGTGCAGACTGACTTGACTTGAGTCTCATTGTTTTTTGTTTGTACATGTTACACGTGACTTTACCATACTGCCATTTTCGACTTTGGAACTCCTTGAGAAGGGCATCTTTGTTGGAAAGGGAAAGCTTGCTTGCTATAGCTTATTCCAGTTTGCTCACACTAGCAGATCCAAGGCTTGCCATTGCTGAAGCTCCACGCCCCACCAAAGTCAGCATCCGAAATTCCGGCAGAGGACACAAGTCTTGGTTGGGGTGGTGCACCGATCGCAAAAAACCTGCCAATTATTGCAAGGAAGGTGATTATAGATCACCACTTGGTCCTCTAAGGATTCGGTTTGCTGGGCAGTTATATATTTCTTCAAACCAACACTTTGGCCCTTCCTTCAGTACCTTCCATTCAATATGATTCTTTCCACACACCAACTCTTTATGGAGAACGAAGCCGATGGGGGAGAGCCAACGTGGCCGACTGGCGGTCACGGCATGTTACATGTTTTTGAGCGACACGGCAGCGACGCAGCAGCACTACATTTGTGTGTGTGTGTGTTTGCGAAAGGCATCCCTGAAACCCGCTTGTTCACAGTGGTGGCCGCTGAACACACTGCTTAAGCCGTGTGAGATGTGAGAGTCACTGGAAGAGTCCTTTTCTTTGCGATGAAGCCCTGTGAGCATTTGTTGAGTGTTTTCTTGAGCATGCTCCCTGCATGTGACAGGAGGACAAACCACCCCAGCCCTCAGGGACCTTTGCCGAGCTCATGACGGAAGGCATTTGGGGGCGTCCCAACAAAGCAAGCGTCACACATAGAAAACTAGAACGCGTGAGGAGTGAATTTTGCCATTTGCATATGTTCGCCGAAATCTTGCCAAAGGCGGTTTGTATATACAACACAGGATGTCTAGAAATGTCCCAACCATTCTGAATGGTGAACTATGTTCTGCTATGAGAGAATCTTTCAAACCCCATTGTGTTTGTTACTCGTACTAGTACTGTAGCGTCCTTGTTCCTAGTAGTAATGCCAGGAGCTACTAGTAGCACCCTTGCCATTGCTCCTAGTAGCGATGACCTTTATTCCTACAAGTAGTAGCTTTTTCAGTGGGACACTCATGCTCAGCATGAGCATCGCTAGTAGGAGCAAGTGCATCGCTACGAGTAACAAGGTGCCTTAGTAGTAGTAGTAGGAGGAGGAGGAGGAGTAGTAATAGCAGTAGCAGTAGTAGGAGTAGGAGTAGTAGGAGTAGTAGTAGTAGTAGTAGCAGTAGTAGCAGTAGTAGTAGTAGTAAGTAGTTGCTGTAGTGGTTACTGCAGTGGTTAGTAGTTAGTAGCTAGTAGCAGTAACAGTAGCAGCGGTGGTGGCGGTGGTGGTAGTAGTAGCAATAAGCCACCTAAAACCGTTTCTGCGTCGAACATCGCAGGTGAAGATGCGAAGCATGCCATCGTCAGAGAGTTGGCTTTGAACCATCAGAAGCACGGCTGAGCACTGGATGCGATGCGAATAATGGGAATGGGACAGAATGGGTCATATTGACCCTAGGAGATTTGTGAAAGATCTCCATGTGGGGGAGATGGTGAATCAACAGTCAGCATTAAAAGTTCTTTTTGCCCTTCCTGAAGATTTACACTGGTTTGGATATATTTAACATAGGTACATGAAGTGTGAAGATCAAGGGGTCAGCACATGGGGTTTCATGCCAAGGTTCACATCCTCATTCGCACTTGAAGATGTGTGCATTGAAGCACCTGTCCAAACACAGAGAGTGATTCAACATATTCAACTTGGAGTCAGACTTGGAGTCTGAGAAAAAAGAAAAAACCGAGTGAACCAACTTCATGAGTCTTCCGCTCCGAACACCACGTCCCCCCCTCCTCCGCCTTCACGTCTCAGGAAGATTCTCCACCGCTTCGCGGAAGAGTCGCAGCGCCTATGCTACGAGCGCTATTTGCACGATCCCAGCTGGTTGGTGGACCTCAATCAACCCGAAGGCTGGACTCGGTCTCAATGGGCCGTGGAGAGGTCCTGCTCTGGGTAGTAGCTCTAGCTAGAGGTAGCTCGTAGCAAACGGGAGTCGCTATAGTAACTAACAAGTAGCTACTACCGACAGGACGCAGAATAGCTCACGCTATTCATTTGGTTCCTAGATTTTGAGGGAAACTTAAGGATGCTGGGGAGCTGTGGCAGACATCATAATTCAACTTAAGGAACAAATCACCGACAAATCAGACTTTGCTTCTACGGTGGTCATACTAGGTATTTGTCTTAATGATTTAGTTCTGCAAAAGAGAAGCGGTCATGAAGGAAAAGTGTGAACAAGCGTGTCTTCTTGCCTTGGCAAACCTGGCGCCAATCAGACTTTGAATCTGTTGGGCGCGTACAGATATACTCCTAAAGCATGGAACTCACAGTATTGCCTTTAGACCCAGCGCGCAAAGCTGATGTTATATATCCACTTGAGAATTGCTATAATTGCTGGCTCTTCAACTTGGGCTCAATGGCCAACTTTCCAGCCGCAGGCGAGAGGCAGGGCCCTCAGCAACAGCTTCAGCCGGCCGCTTGCCCACATTGGATGGGACATAGATGGGAGCATGTTGGACCTACACATCTCAGCAACCCATGCTGGTCCATAGAATTCACCCTCATTCAGGATCTATCCGGGTACTTTTGTGATGTCTTGGCATACCAAACTAATTCCAAGATCCAGCAAAAGAGAACCCACTTCCAACACGTTCACGGTCGGTGTAACTGTTGACGCAGCGCGGATTCCTGCGATCACTGGGACAACGCCCCCTCAGAAAGCTCCCGGTGTTCGAACCAGCTTTCGTCCACTGCGACGGCAGCAGCTGTTTTGACGGAAGGAGTACGGCCTTGCTGCCAAGGTAGACCTGTCCCCACTGCTTTTTGGTTTGCCACTGCTGGAGGACTGAAGTATGGTTGAGCGACGGCGGTATCCAATATTCATACTAACTTGCTGAAATGTACTGTTGGCTTGGCAGGTGCAAGCCACCCTGAAAAAAGAGCACTGCAAATTTCTTCCGTTTGGATGATTGTGACGTGAAGGTGACCTTAATCTGTGTAGCTCACATTCTTCTCTGATGGAGACCTCACACCGGCCGTCAAGAGAGCGACCTTTGATGGCAAGGCGACCTTTGAAAGTGCCTTTAACAATAAGTATGCACAGACTCTGTATATACGAAGAAGCACAACATTTGGCCACCCCTGTCCGTTTGCCCTTTTGCAATGCCCAGCCTTGGCATCAGGGATGAGGATAAATTCGCCCAGCCTTGGAAATGGGAACCCCGTGACCATTCGGTTCTCACTTTGAGCAAAGGTCGACCACTGACTCTAGTGACTCTAGTGACCCTACCCGTTTGCTTGGCAGGGCTCCTCATTTTGCTACAGTCTCACCGGTTTCCGGGATTTCTGACATCTTACACGTCGTTTTCCAACATCCACCTGGTTGAAGGGAAAGTGCTTCTCAGCTGGTACAAGCGGGCTTTGCCGCCTACCTCACCATGCTACAGAAGTTCAGCATAGTTCAGCCAATGATGAAGGTCAGAAAATCGGCTTGAAATGCCTAAAATTCAAAAGGTTTAACGAGAGCACAGTTCGATATAACTCATGCCCCTTCTTTCATGCACTTCTTCTACCTCCATGTGAGGTGACAGTCACCACCCGGGCCCCAACCAAACAAAAGAAAGCAAAAAAACTGTGGCGAGGAGCTGCTGGACCTCTTAGTCGCTCCTGGCTTGGATCCCTGGCAGAAGGCACTGCTTATGCTGTCGGAGGGTGCTCGAAGTCGGCGGTTCTGGACCGAAGTCGGCAGTTCAGAGCGTTCAAAGATTCAACATAATTCCCAGACACTCCATGTATGATATATATATGCCTACATTGGCCCCTGAAACCACCCCAATGTATGTAAAGATGCCATACATGGAGTGTTTGGGCTATATATATATATATATACATATTTGGATCGAGAGCGGGTGGTCATGGGGCCTGGGTTTTGCTTTTCCCTAAAATTTTGGGTACATGCTTTAGTGGCAGCCCCTCTCCATATAAACACACATATCTATTCTTGCTCTCACTCTATATGAACAAATATATTATGGTTTGGAAGCAGCAATCAGTCATTCAGATGGTTTGGAACAAGATAATTAGAAAAGAAGCATGCCATAAAAGTGGTTATTTTAACAATTGTCCTCTAGATCTCTGCTTATAATTATGTTTAGATTTGGAAAGATTGTGTATAGACTCTTTTATGTTATAAAAGATTCTTTATAGATCTCTGCAGATAATCATGTTTAGATTTAAACAACCATATAGAAACCTTGTATGTTAAAAGCTTTCTTCTAGATTTCTGCGGGCAAGAGCTTGCATTTTCAAAGCTTTCCTCAGGATCTCTGGGAAAGTAGATATCCCTATATGTGTTTTCATGAAAGGAAAGCTCTTGAAAGAAAGACTTATTTATTGATATATAGCATGTTTCAATTGACATGACCATTTCCAGAGATCCAGAGGAAAGCTTTTGAAAGGAAAGCTTATATATAGTTTTATTGTAGAATTGATCATCCCCAGAGATCTAGAGGGAAGCTCTTGAATTAGAAGCTTGTACATAAAACATGTTTAATATGTATATATTATCTCCAGTGATTACTGACAATAAATAAATCTAACTATTTACTTCAAAAAAGAGTTTTAGTCTTGTTCCCAGCACTTCCAGAGCAAAAAATACTGTAAAACACGGGGTTTTGTAGCATGTGTTTTCTTAAACTAAATAGACTAGAGCTAGAATAGAATTAGGTAGAATTAAATTGGATTTGAGTTAGAGCTAAGATAAAACTGAAGTAAAACCGAATTTTAATAAACTTGTATTGAACTATAACTATAGCCTAATTGAAATTAGATGAGATTTGAATTAGAAAGGAATTAGAATTCAAATTAGAAGTTCGCCAGAATAAGATGTAAACGCTTGAGCCGTAAGCACAGAATTACGCTCGCAAAGATTTCCAACCGTTTCATGTAAAGGACAGAGTGTCCTCGCAACTGCATGTCAAGCTGTTTGGAAATGCAAGTGGCAACCGCATTGATACCAGTCAGCAGTTAATGCACTCAGACTTGTATATGGAGATTTGGACAAGGACGAAGGAAGTGTTGAGCTCAGACGGTTTCAGACGTAAGCAAAAAGAACAGATGCCTTGAGGTGAGAAGTAAGTTCAGATGCTAAACCAAAAAACCTTGAGAAAACACAAAAAACACAAAAACAATTCTGAGAGACTCTTGCTTGGACCCCCCAAAATCAGAAGAATCAGAAAACCAAAAAACCTTGGGGAAACCAAAAAAACCAATTCTGGGGAAGTCTTGAGGAAAAGGGGGTCCAGCCAAGAGTCTCTGAGAATTGTTTTTTTTGTTTTTTTTTGTTTTTTTTGGTTTTCCCAAGGTTTTTTTGTTTTTTTTGTTTTTTTTTGATTTTGGGGGGTCCAGCCAAGAGTCTCTGAGAATTGTTTTTTTTGTTTTTTTGGTTTTCCCAAGGTTTTTTTGGTTTTTTGTTTTTTTCTGATTTTGGGGGGTCCAGCCAAGAGTCTCCCAGAATTGTGTTTTTAGTTTGTTTGTTTTCCCATGGTTTTTGGTTCTTTTTGGTTTTTTCTTATGTGTTTTTTATCCTTTATGCATATTTATCAGTGTTTTTTGGTTTTGATTGTGGCACTGATGCATTTACCTAATATTTATGAACATTTATGGAAAACCAAAACCCAGGCCCCATGGCCACCCCTTCTGTTTGGATCAGACCCAACTGTGTCGGAAAAAACGCTCAGGAGAACCTGCAGTCGAGATGTCTTTTCCACGTTCCAGAGTCCAGAGTTCCCTTCCTGGACCACTGCTTTAGAACAATCAATAATCAGCTCTACATACCCAACAAAGGAGGAGCCTGATGGCTGTTGTCAGTCATTGGCGCAGCTTACGTTGCTAGCATCCAGGCGTTTGGCTGCAGCTTTGCTGCGGAATTATGCGCTAGGCCAGCAAGGGGGCTGCGGAGTGAGTGCACACGTCTTCCACTCGCCAGAACTGAGAACCGCATAAAGACCAAACCCTGACCGCTTTCCTGGTCGGTGTTCTATGTGTTTGATCAGAATCCATTGAAGGAACCATGCAGATGGTTTTGGCACCCAAGGTTGAGACGTTTTCTAGTTACCATGTCATGGAAGATAGGGTCATGATCGCCCGAATATCCTAGGAATGTCCTCGGATCTAGATTGATATGGCCAACAGGATCCGACAGGGTTCACCAAGCAACTGAAAGCAGTTTTAAACTGGCGCAAGATCAGAACTATATGTTTGGTCGTGCCGGAAAAAGACAAAAGGCCTCTCCCCCGAAAACCCGCGACCGTTTCTCTCCGATCGGAGGCTCCTGCCGTTGCTGGGTGCCTTGGGCGGCCGCGCGGTCGAGATGAGTGGAACACAGGAGGACTCCGACGAGGAGAACTTCCTCGGCCGCTCGACGTTGTTTCGGACTGCGAGCGGCGTTTTCGTCGCGGCCAGCGACCCCGAGAATCGGACGTTTGGTGGCGCCAGTAAAGTATGGGGAACTTTTCCCTATATAGAGACCTTTGATAATTTCTTATTATGAATCTGTACATCCGCATTGGCGGTGATGGACGTAGACCAAGGTTCATCCCGTTCGCCCTCACAGTTGGGCAGATTGATAGATTTGGACAACATTTCAAAAGGAACACATCGGTTTGGCACCCCAAACCCAGAGAAGACAAAAGCAACGTCACAGGTCGGTGTGGACTGGAGCACCCTCCCGCAGCAACGACCCCGCCAGGTGTGGACGTGCGCTACGCGGAGGGGCACCGCCTCGCCGGCGAGGCGGAAGGCTTTGGCTTCGGCCGCGGCGGGCGCAGCGACGACGGCACCGTGGTCAGCAGCGACGGCCGTCGAAGCGCTTCCGGGAATAGGCAAGAACAATGACAAGGGTCGGTAGGGCCTAATTTGATCTAATTTGCCTAATTCGGAGCTTTTGAAAAGGTTTACCTCAGCGGGTTTCAGTGGAATCGCTTGGTAGTCAAAACAAGCTCAACTAACGTCCGTAAACCTTGAGAGAGAGAGAGAGAGATTTAGAATGATTTAGACAAATATGTCCTTCGACCAGGCGGTCTCAAGCTATAGCCTTCTATGCTTACAATCGGCAGACCGCTAGTTGTTGTGATACGGGCCATCACACGTCCCCAACGGAAAGTGGCCATGGAGTTCAGACGTCTATCATGCGTTTGCTAGCTTAGCTGCCCTGTGAGTTTTCAGAGATGGCTACACTTGGCACTCAAAATCAGCATCGTGTGAGTGAGGTACTTTGGGCTACCGCAGTAGCTTGACACCGGAGGTCTTAGAGAAAGTCCTCATCGGTTGGCCATGCCCCACTGCAGGGGTGAGAGAGGCGATGTTGGATGGTCACAGGACGAAGCTGACATCGTGGCGTCGTTTTTGCTTGTGTCACACCCAGTTGGTGATTAACCACAGGATCTAGGAGTTCGAGATCTCCAAATGATGGACCACGTTTTGTGCGCTCAAAGGATTGAACTGTGATGGACAGCTTGCGCCTTTGGAATGACAAAACTGATTGTCGCAGGATCAAACAGGTGCTGGTGGGAATGAGCTTCGGAAATAGGGAATAGATGGGAATAGGGATGCCGTAAAATATGATGAGCATGCCGTGTAGCTTTGTGAAAGGAACCAAGAAGTCCAGTGCGACGTGCGAGTTCGGAACCAGGTCGGTGTATCGGTGTATGTATATATATTCCCCTTTCAATGGGGAGCCAAGAAGCTACAGGGAGTTTTGTAACCTATAAAATGCACAGAGAGAGAGAGAGAAAGATGGTTCATGGATGTTCATGGTTCCTGTTTGCCACCAACTTTGGGCATTGCATGCTGCATGCAGGATGAATGCCGGGAAGCTTCCTCGCGAAGACTTTCAGCCATTTTGATGCATGCTGTGGCTGTCACGATGTGTCGAGTCACCGCCGATCGACTCGGCCTGATTTGGATGAAAGAAGAAGTCCACGACAAGGTAGGATGAACAGACAATCGACAACTCTGTGGTCCAAATGTCCTGGATCTCAGACATGATTTGATGTACGGTTGTTCTTTCTTATATGTATGAGGCCTCGCCTTTGGGCAAATGTGTGGAAAACTCAAAGGCCGCACCAGTTGTCAACACATGATTGGAGGTTACCTTTCTTTTTTGTGCTAGCTACTAGCGACATCTAGCGACCGCTAACGTGTCCTCGGCTGAGCTGGTTAAAAGACCGGCCTCCGCGGTGAAGTCGGACGGGTTTGACAAGGGGTTAAGGGTTCCTTTGAGCGGCATTTGCTTTTGACATCACAGTTTTCGATGTTCAACCCATGGCCCTCTGTTTCCCCTAGCCCCCCTAGCCCACTGTTGAGGAAGAAATCGTATTCCAGAGCACCAACGCCACCACTGCGGCGTTTCCTTTGACCATCCACCACATCCGTAGACCGTTCTTGACAGTCCTCGTCTCCGCGTCCTTCAGGAAGGATTTGGAGATCTTGCAAGCTTTACGCGAGTCCCGTCGTGCCAACCTTTGGCGCAAGAGCGCGGCAGGCGCGCATTGAAGCAAAGTGATGCGGATGGGAACGCAGGGAAGGATGGCTGAGTCATAGGCTAGGGGCGATGATGGGTGAGATTTGAATGGCCTCTCCCATGGTCCCACGACTATATTAGCTGGATGTATTTACTGGCACGCAGGGCTCCCATGGCTTCAGCACCTTTGGGATTGCATGGCGCTCTTCCACCAGTGCAGGCTTCTATGAATTGGAAGGCGTTCAAGTCCGACAAGAGATGCAGGCGAGGATGTTTCGGGGGAAGGAGGCTCTTTGGATTTTCCATCCATCGCGGATGATTTTTCGTTTCCTACATAAACTGCCCGTTAAGTCTAAAAACATATATATATACTTTGTTTTCCAGGTTGCGAAGCAAACAAAGCGAATCCGTGAGGTTGCGAAGAAGAAGAGCATCACACGGAATATGACGCTCTCTTCACGACAAGTGACTCAGAGATTGACCAGAAAGAGCCTGACGAAGGAGAGGAGAAATTCAGAGATCTTAAGGATCACTTGAAGGCATGCTCACCACTTCAAATTCATCTCGGAATGCTCACTCGCAACCATGCGGTGTGACAAACGTTCCCTTTGATCCATTTGGATCGCTTCTTGTCAGGAGAGGGCTGCAAGCATCAAAACCTTGGAGGTGGTCTCCTTAAAGGAAGACGCCCAGGACTGACTACCTTTCTCCGTTGGAGACACCACATTTTGGATGGCTAGAGACGAACATGTTGAGAAGATGGGTTTTCCTCGCCGGACAGGTTGTGTTATGTTGTTTTTCACGTTGGTTTATAGAAGGTGTTTGTGTTCTAAAATGTTCTAAAGGTGTCATTTCTACTCATCATGCTCATCATGGTTCCAAAGTAATTCACCAAAAAAAGAAAAAGGAGAAGTGTGAGCACCATGTTAGCAGCGCCTTGGTCGCTCAGGAGCTGCAGTGGCTGGGCCGGCGAATCGGTTTGTCCTCATATTTGTCCAGCCTGGTGGAGAATCTTCACAGCACACCAGGTGGAGAATCTGTTTGGTTAGACGGTCGAGACAGGGCATGCCTTTTGGCAAAGCCACAAGGTGATGAGGGATTTGAAATGGTGTTCAAGCAACGAGCGATCTCGAATCCATCAAGTTTGGGGCTCCATTTATCAAGTTCAGGGCTCGTATCGGTTCAACACCTTGGACCATTTAGGATGCCACAGGGGCTGGATTCCCAGCAGTGATTTATGCCGTTCTATGCCAGTAGACACACCCGACGCCGACATCATAGGACTATTCTGAAATTTGAAAACAAACTATGTTTGCACTCCTCATGGCAAAGCCTTACATAAAACTTGGGACTTGAGCCAAGAGTCTTGCAGTATAGTATTGTAATTACATTGTTTTCTTTTATAACACACTGAGATCGATGGCCGCAAAATATTTGGAGATCAGGTCACCCTGCGAAAGCACATGTTTGCAGTTTTTGTGCCAGGGCTTAAACATCCATCGGCCCATATGCGAGACCAGGCCGGATAGCATCGGCCAGCAGAGACACACTCTCGCTCGGTCACTCGGTGTGTTTGAGGAAGTGCCCGGTGGGTGCCACACACGGCACCGCCACACATGGCAGCTTCCTGGAGGCTTATCGCTGCTTCCCCTGCTCCCTTTGCAGCTCGCTTCCTGCACAGTCGGGGCAGAAGAGTGATTGAGACTTTGGGCAGGGCAAGAGTTTGTTAAACACAAAGATTTGTAGAACGGGCTGGAGCGGATAAAAAACGATGCCACGGGGCACGGGGTTCATCAATTGCCCCGCGAGACAGAGAGAGAGAGAGCGAGAGCGCCAGACTGCCAGAGACAAGAAGGTATCATCATCTTTGCAGATGTTGCATGTTGTTTTAAGATGAGTGGGGCAATCAACATGACAATGTCATGTTGCTTTTCAGAGTTGAGTGTTGGGCCCTAATCAGAGAGCTTGGTTTGACAGGTGTATTGAACTCTTTTAGGGCGCAGTTGATGGTCACGCCAAGGTCTACAATCCCCGGCTATATGACAAGAATACGATATCATAAATATATATATATATATATTCACTTCATCAGTATCAAACAATGCGCCCGAACAAGCTCAAGTGGGGTAAACATCTCAAGTCGTCCGTCAGCCTGTGCAGGCAATGAGCCGATCACCTCAGCTGAGACGTCCGCACACAACTTTGCGTATTGCTTGGACTGCTGGCATCTCGGTATGGACTGCTGTGTGCAGCTGGTCTCACCATGTCTCACCTCTGGTATCTCACCATCAGTTCAACACCTTGCAATTGTTTCAGGCCTTACCTTTAGCTTGAAATGGTGTTCCTTGATGTTCTCCTTCAGTTGGGATCTCCGCACCTTGCGTTCGACTTCGAGAGTTGGAGAGACCCCAAAACCCACCGGAGGAACTCTTAAAGAAGGAGGAACCCAAGAAGTAGTGCAAAACACTGCACAAGGGAACCCGCCCAAAAGTTCCAATGCCATAGTGTCCCAAAGCCTCTTGCTATAAGCACTTGTGGCATGCGTTCTCTCTTTTGGTTTCTCTGAGGGGACGCCAGCGGCGATTCACCATCTGCCACGACTGCCTCAAGGAACACGTCACAACCTGTGACACAGGCCGTTCCGAATCGCTTCCAGTCACTGAGTTGGCGCCGCGAAAACATGGTGTTTTCACTTCTTGACAAGGTCCAGACGCATGTCATAGACATATTAATGTAGATATGAATCAAACACCCCAGGCCTTGCAATCCAAATGGTGGGTTATTATCAAGAGTCTAAATGATTTCAATGGGAAAGCCAAGGCAGACGACTGTGCTTTTGGAAGACCAAATCTGTGAACACACAGACATGCATACATGACATACGCATGGTTGCAGTCAGGAACGCCGTCAGAAGTGGGTTTTGCCCAATGAAAGCTGTGGAGCTGTATTTGCATGTATAGTTATATAAATATATGCCGCTTAGAATGTTGTGATTGGCCAGCCTTGCGGCAGGAAGTCCGAAGCCTCATCGAATGCAACTCTTGGATGTTTCGCCATATGCCAGCTGGCATACCTGGAGACTGCCCAAGTGAGGAGTGGACAATCACTAAAGACCTCTCAAAGAACTTAACACTTCGATGTAAGCGTTGTTGTTTGTGCAGAACATCTACAGCTCGGAGACAGATTGCTTATCTACTTAGTAGGACTGAGTGATGCATAGCTAGTCACTTAGTTAGCCACAATCTTCCCACAAGATCCCCTTCAGCTTGTATCAACATGGCAGAGATGGATCTAACATGACAAATCGAGGTGTGGCAGCCTCACCGTGGCCGGCACGACCGGTCCTGATCGGTGCCCCAAGGCTGGAATCCCTCAGTGCCACCGCTGTGCGCGACGTCTGGTGTGGCCCTGGGAGATGCACATCGGCCAAGGCGAATCGCCCAGCGAGCCGTGGCTCGGAGAAGGTGGGTATAATGTAGCTATATAACTTATATATGTATTTATTGAGAAAATAGATGAAAATCGCCTCAAAGAGGTTGAAAGAGACTTGGAGGGCCGTTTCTTGACATTTGAGGCAGTGGTTCCACTGCAGCACCTGCGGCAAAAGCCATGATTTGTGCTTCTCCTGTGCTGAGAGAAGCTGTCCTCAACAGCATCCCATGAGCTTCTTAAGCACTCTTCGTGGAGGTTATACCTGCAAGAGCTGTGGCAAAGGCACTGGACCGGGAAGAGTGCTTCTGGGAAGGTGAGGATGTTGAGGATTGGGCAGTGATCATTGGTCGCTCGATTGTTTGCTGCATATTTCAGTCAGTAGATGTCAGTAGATATGCTGACCCGGACTTATTGATAATTCTTCCCAACCTCGTGATCATGGAGGAATCATGCACCTTTTCCCCTAAGAGATTTGTTATTACTTTGCCGTTTGGTGGGCTAGATGCCCACATGGCCAAAGTTTGGCCAAAGTAGGCCCGACCATGAGTCAGCCTGTGCTTTCAGAATGGAGATTTGAGGATGTTCGCAGCCTGCCAATATTATCTGTATGTAATACATGAAAATTTGTCGGCGACTGATTTTGCATACCCCACTGTTGCATTCCAGGTTTGTTTATTGAAAGGCTAGTTTTCCTTATGCCTTATGTCGCCCATAGTCCTTTGAGGGGCTTCCCCTACCAATCATGAACTACGGGCCACTGCCTGAATCCTTCCAGGCGGAAATGTGCAGCTCTATCACTGTTGCATTTGCCAAGAGGACGGGTGCATGTGGCGCGACCAAGCTACTGGTTCGTGAGGGGCTGGTTGGTGTTCGCGTGCATGTTTGCCTTGTTGAAGTTGTTACGTGTAGTAAGGCCATCGGTGATAGATCGAACTTGCGAATGGCAAGGGTCAGCACTTGTGCTGTCGAACGAAGAAAAGAGCGGTGCAGCCGAAAAGAGAAGAAATCAATCAACTGCCGCGCTCAACCGATATGACATGTTTCGCTGCGACAGCGTTACAACGTACACAATTTATTGCACCTATTTGCACCTTAAATTCACCTCAATCAGAGCCTGTGCCAGTCTTTGAGAGGCAAGGCAACGGTGCCATGCAATACGGTCCCCTTCACTGCACCTTTCGAAAGACCGGCCGCCAATCTTTGATGGCGCAGCAGGATTGTTTGACATTTTGTTGATGCATATTCTGTGCGAACGTGGTGATAATGAAAGGCCCAGAAGTTACACAAATCGACCTATATAGTTGCATCAAAAAATAGTTTCCGATTGCTCGCCTTTGCTTGAATTTGCTGAATTGCCTGATTGATGGGTCCATTGCCTGGTTGCTTGGTTGGTCCGTTCACTGGCCTCGTTTGTTCACTGCCATTGCCAGTGAAGACGACCGCGACCGCTGGCCAGGCGCGCAGTGAGGTGGTCTACCCCAATGGCGAGGCGGCCTTGGCCGATCTGAAGCTCACGATGAGCATGAACGAAGTGAAGGCACAGCATGGCACAGCATGGCACCAAATGTTGAGTCAGTTGAGGAATTTACGGCCTACCTACCGTACTCGACAGGTGAAGCATCTCGACATCGGGAACTTTGTGCAATTCATCAGTCAGTCAACATTCGCATTCATGGGTTTTTGTCAGGCTGTCAGGGTATATGTGATGTCCGACAGTGTTGCAGCATTCTCTCCAGGTGTTTGTTTGCAAGATAATGCCTGGTGCAGCATGGTGTGGCTGGTTGGTGGGACATGAGTGCGATCAACATATTACATATACTAGCTGTAGAAGTTTGTTGGGAGTATATCGCTACATCGTCCTGGTTGTTGATAGACCCTGATATCCAAGAGGCTGATATACAGGCAGCCTCAAGCTTACTACATCCTTCTTCGGAGGGTTTTTTTCGGGTCCGAAGGGGTGGCGACGTGCCTTTCAGGAACATGAACTGCCCAGTCAAGACCACCATTGAACCACCAAGCAAAAAGAGCAAAACCCCAAAATCCTTGATGTCCGTCTCTCCCAAACTCCCACGCCCACCACCGAGCAGGTGTCCTCCGTGGTACCCAATGGCCCGGCGAGCTTAGCGGGCGTCCAAGTTGGACAGCGCCTCACCGTGAACGATGAGGCGCTGTTGTCGCCACAGGCCTTGGAGGAGATGCAGGACACGGTGCCTTGGCAGAACCAGGAGATCCAGGGAGCGAGCCGAGGAGGTCTCCATACAGAACAGGGGGTTTGGGCCCACCCACACCATAGAATACCATAGATGTGTCTGAATTTGTATCTCGTCCTTGCTGTCTCAGAAATGTTTGACACACCAATGGGCTTTTAAGGCTTCGTGCTTCTGGAATGCCACGTGGCGGTGTAGTTCACATTGCTTCAGTACTTCATTTAAATAGTTGGAAACTGACTCCTGAAATCCTCAAATCAAGGGACAGCATGTCATGTGCATGCCGGGCAAACATGGGCTGTGCAGCTAGCTCCCAGAACATGGCAGCCACAATGGCCAAAAGAACACGAACTGCACATGGAACCTCCCTTATACTCCAAGGAAGCTCAGTCTTCCCTATAAAATCACTTATATTTATATACACCATTCAACTCACACTCATCAGCATTTGCCTCTCCAGCTTTGTTCTTTGGCTTTTCGCTCTCTTCTTGAGTGCTTTCGCGCCTTCCATTCCTTATCACTGGGTTACAGGGTCCCCACTGGGCCGGGCGCATCGACTTCGGGGACCAGATCCTGGTGGAGTTCAACAGCTCCAGCAGCTTCGATGCCAACTTCGAGTCCGCCAAAGCCGTGCGAGATGCTCGGTGGACGGGTGAACGTCTGGGTGAACGGTGAACGATGGTGGGTGAATGGTGTAGTGAATGCAACCCCGCGACAGGGCGGAGCTGTCAAACATGCCTGAACCCTCTTGAGGAAAATGATTCTGGGTGGGTTGGAAAGGGTTGGAGGTGTCGGGTGTCATGGCGTCATTCATAGCACAACATGGCTTTAGAGGCCACAGGTTACCATGGCTCCATGGCATAATATTTGGCATAATTCTTGCAACCGCCAAATCACACAGGTGACAGCTGTGCAGAATCAAGTGACAGAGACTAGCACAAGTGATGACAAATGATCCAACAAACTAGCTTTGTGCCAGCAACTCTCAAGGCATACGTCGTATCGCTGCACATCGTATCGCTACAACAGATCACATACGTTGCCTATTGCGTGGCCTCGCTCGTCTCCGCCGAACGGCGAACGTGTCGAACGTTCGATGAGGAGAACTTGGCGTTTCAGGTGCAAGAGGGTCGGATCTTCGTCACCGAGGTGCGTCCGTCTGCACCGTGGGCAGGGTGGAGGGGGCCTGGCAGGGCCGCAGTTGGACCAAGGGAAAATCGAAGTCCAATGGCGATGGAATTCCAAAGACATTGGACATTCGATCCAGATATCAGTAATCTGAGGAGTGTATGGTCATTGACGGATTTTGTGGTGGCTTCTCGAAGAAGCTGGAAGGTGGCCCAAAACAAATCAAGGACCATTGAGCAGAATTTGGATCATGGCCGGGTTTGGGGGAGCTCCGTTCCAAGCGAGAGCAGACTCGAAGCTCGGCAGGTGCGCAAATTCTATGCGCGTTCTGCTGGGATCGATTTGGGATGTCAGCTTTTGACCGTAAATGGAGAGAAGGCGAGCTACGAAGTTGTGGAAGAACATGGTGATGGAGAGAAAGACGGAGATGATGGAGAGAACAGGTCAGTTTGGTGGCCACTGAAGGATTTGGTTTCCTAAAGGGGACCCCAGTCGTGCCTGTGAACTGTCGTAGGTTGAAGTTTATAGTCCAGTTGGTTTACTGTTGAACTGTTGGCTCAAGCCCGCATTATGACCTCTATCCATTGTGTGATTTTGTCGGAAGACAATTGGGTTGGAATCGTGGGCTCCACATGCACATGTACCCGTAATTACCCGTATATAGGGCATAGGGATGTTGATAGGGTGGTTTGTATGCATAATGTCTAACTTCCAGCAGCTTGAGGATGATGAAGCACAAGCAGCTCAGCTGGAAGGATTTATGCAACAGCTCTACACAGAGACTTCGCAAAAGGCTCCAGCACTTCAGCCTGTGGTGCCGCAAACCACAACATACCACAACTACCACCACAGGCATTCAAAGCTATCGCACACCTGGAACCTCCCTCCGCTTGGCAAAACGCCCTTCTGCAAAACGCCGTTCGGCACATTTCGGCACTACCGTTCTCACCGATGGTTCGTTTCGCTGTCCGCTTTCCCAAGCCCTCCAAGAAGACGTTTGGCAGCCTGGCCCCTATGCACTTTGACCAGGCCTTGGCGCTCGTGGATGGAACGGATTTGAACCTGGATTCCTTGAATGCGCCCTTCGTGCTTCGCCTACGGCAGAGCGGCCCCAAGCTGCTATGTCACCCAGGTGGGTTGGCCAGCTTGAAGTTGGATTGGAGTAATGAGTCACTTCAACATTCGCTTCAGCGTCGTCCTTGGTTTGGATGAAACCCGGCAGGCTGTAGTGTTCTATGTGGGACTGGCCATGAAATGAAGGCTCAACATTGTGGCAGCTGGGCGACAAAAGGACGGTCTAAACGCTGAGGGCTGAGGGATTTCTTACTCGCAACTCCCTAGCCATGGAGTTGGTGTGAGATGCCTGCAGAATGATGAAACAACATCAGGCACTTGAACATGAGTTCTTGAAGTTGTTTCCGGCGTGAGGCGGCATTTTGTGCCCCAGAGGTCATACCTTGACACTTGGCGCAGACTAAGGGGCTCTAGAAAGAAAATGGAAGACATGCATTTTGGCCGCCACATTTGCAGCCACACATTTAAGGTGTCTATAAGCAGCAGTGTGTTTTGGGGGGTTGCCTTGAGTATCCTTGAGTATCCTGATTGCGTTCTTCAAAGTAGTTGGTAAACCTCACCAATCGTGCAAGCTTTACCATCGGCAATCAACGGGCTCCTGCACCTCCAAGAGGTTCTTCGGAAGATCGTCGCAAGGGCTCCAAAACCTCGCAAGGGACGGTCAAACGGTCAAAAGCAACAAAACATCGACTCGCTCAGGCTCACATCGATTTTGATAATCTATTCCGATCTTTGCTGTGAAACCAAGGAAGTGTATGTCATTTGCAGAGCTGAAGTGTCCAGACTCACTCTGCGAGTCCTGCGGACAGTCGACCGACCTGGTGTTAGCCTGTGCGCTGCTTGGCGACGAATTCTGGTCGCGTTCGACGGTCCCGGACATCGGTGCTATTCCAAGATGGCGGAAACGAGGGAGGGCAACAGGCATGGCAACAGGCTCCGAAAAAAGGAACTCATGAACAAGTGGTGTTTTTTTACTGAGCCATGATGAGACATGATGAGATGCGATGTGTTCTTCAGACCCCTGTGTGGTACCCTGAGGAACTGCTTGGACACTGAAGCAATGAAGCCGACCTCAGAAGCTCGAGAGGGAGAAGATGGGGGTGGGGTGGACGGGGTGGACTTGGTGCCTTGTGGATGTTTCACCCTCAAATTCACACCCAATGAAACATATGGGCTTGTCTTTTTTTTAGGTGTCCAGTTTATGTAGGACTGGGAACCTTAAAAAAATACAAACCCATATATGAGATGGAACATTAGATGGAATTTATCGATTTGGGTGAGACTCATCTCCCTAGTTGAGTAAGAGATTGGGCCTTTGGAAGTGGCTAGTGTACCTCCAAATAAATCAGAATCCTTTCGGGATGTTGACCCTCCCAAATACAGGTGATCGCACATCCGAAAACTCACCGAGCAGATCCACATTGAACCTCCCGCATGGACCGCATCGTCATCACCGTCTCGTCGCCGTAGCCAAACGTCGGAAGTGCTGGTGCTGAGGACAGAGGTCATCACCAAGTAAAAGACACGTACGTTTTTTTGCCAACCGAGGATTGCTTCAACCTGCTGTGCTTCAGCTGTGGCTGGCAGCGTGCTGTGAAACGCTGCAGCCCGTCGCCTTATCCGAACCAGGGCCAAGTCTACTGCTGCGACTGTGGGCGAAATGTTTTGGAGGCGCTGTTGGTGGCACACAGATGCTATGACTTTGTGAGGGAAAAGATCCCACCACTCCCACCGCTTGAGACCCAGACTGGACCACTGACTGGCGCATTCCTGATCATTGCATGTTCTGTTTAATGAAGAGCAAGTACCCTCCCTCAAACAATCATGGAAGCTGAGCAGACCTTCGTTGTAGAGGACAATCGGTCTTCCAGGGGCCTATGTTCCACTTCCAGGGGCCTTGTTTCAGGGAGTGTAATTAGGGCTGTGATCTGAACTTGCTGGTTGATGATGCCTTGATGCTTGGACCTGTCGGGTGGCTTGCCATGCTGCAAGCTTGGTTGGACTCCCTGATGACAATCTCATATAATCTCCCTGATTGAAATGGGAGTCCATATGTCCCTGATTGCATAGTCCATATAGTGGTCATGCATAGTGGTCATTTCAATCTTAGTCCCTGATGACTCCCTGATGACTTGCAGGCTGATGGATCCGAGTCCGGGTCCTTGGATGAACATGTTTTTCACCATTGCTCTTCTTGCTGGGAAGGAGGTGTCAAGCAAGATCGATGTTATTTTTGCAACTCGCCGAGGAAGAGGGGAACACCATTCGGGCAAGGGCTATGTGGCCCCAAATCCTCGGAATGGTAGGCAGTTTGGTGCTGCCCAGCCTTACAACATGTAGGCATGTAGGGATTTCTCACAGTGTTCAGCACTGAATTGAAACAATATTACATGCGTTGCAAGATGTATACCTACCCTTTTTGCACTCCCCCACTGGGAGTGTAGGGTTTAAAATGTGGATGCCAAGGGCCGCCCAATCCATTTTTAGTAAATCACCACTGTTCTGTGCCAGGCTCACTCAAGGTTGTTCTTGTAATTATCGTCTCTTTGCACGAAAAACCTGGTGGCCAAGCAATAAGCAGCACTTGTTAGCCGCAACATCTCGGTACAGACCCAGTTGCCTCTAGTGCAAGAGGCCTACAAACAGCATGTATCAGCAAGCATGATCAGCAGAATGCACATGAACAACCATGCAGGCGCACCATGTATCAGTACATAACTTCCCGTTCCGGAATCTTTCTTCATCCTGGGGACTTGGAACTGAGGCAGCATCCGCCGCCTCAGCTGCCCCAAATCTCATCATTTGCTGCCCTGCTTGGCCTCGCCCTTCTCAGATGACTTGAGCTGTGCTGGCTGTGGTGAGGAGCTTTTTCCCCATGAGGTGTGGGGAACAGATGTGCTGCGGCGTTGTGGCCTTTAGATGGTGAGTAGATGACCACAGGTTGTGTAAATCAAGTTTTGGAAGGTGCTTCTTTTTGGTGATATGTTCACTATTTGGATCTATAATTGGGGATTAAGGTGTGCAAATACTATACCTGTATCTAGGGTGGGGCTTGTTCGAGCACTTGGGAAGGCGGAAGAACCCTTTGGCAGCTGCCAAACGATCAGATTGAGCCGAACAATACCATACTTGGTAGGACATTGTTCTCTAGATCCCCTCGTCAGGGTCGTTGATTCACCAGCGAGGCTGTTGGCCTCGGCCATCCGAGGCCTCCGAGGACTGGTCTTTTACACTTCACCTCCTTGTTTGGATCAACTTGGTCGGGTCAACTCGCCAGATGAATGAACCAGAAATGCCAGAATCGGTCTTTAAAACTGGATGAATCTCGGAAGGAATCGAGACTAGTACCTGTGGTCCGTTGGGTTGTGTTTCTTTTTTCCTGACTCACCGTCAGTCATGCGTGGCCAGATTGGATACCATTGCGACGACTGCTGGTGGCAAGGGAGACGAACAGATCGATGCCAGAGCTGTGGAGAGTTGTGCCAGCTGAGCCACGGCTCCAAACATGCGAACGCATGCCAGGTGACCAACTCAAGCTTTGACCCCATAGATCATGTCGACTTTTGATTCATAAGTAATTAACCCCCCCCCCACGTGGACTGAAGCACCTCTTCATATGTGGTTTTGTTATTCATCAAGAGTCTTTATCATGTCTTTTGGGGGGCTGTGTGCCGCAATGCCAAGAAGTCATTCGTTTATGAATGGGTCTCTCTCAATGCCCAAAGCTTGGGTTTCTTCCACAGGGAAAGGAAAGAGAAGGCGAGAAGGAAAGGAAAGGAAGCAGAGAAGAAGAAGAATCGAAGGAAAAGGAGAAGGAGAAGGAAAGCAGAGAAAACAAAAGGAATATCTAGGACATTGAAGATACATAAGAAATCATGCGGTTGAACACTAGCGGAAACCACATTAATTAATCCAAGCATCAAAGCAGGTGCTTTGACTTCTGTTGAGGCTACGAAGAGCAGCGAGGTTCCTTATTGGCTTCTCATTCTTGGACCTATACACTCAACAAGTGTGGACGGGTTGAGCACCTGAGCAACCTTTCAAGGATGCACATGGCCCGTAGATTGCTTGACCACGTACTTAGGTAGAGTTTATTTTCTACTTAGATCTACATTAGGTCATTCTATGTCATTCTAATCTCCTGCTTGCTAGGGCCTAAGCTTTGCACAGTGCTGAGACTCGTAAATGCTGGAAAGAAAAGGAAAAGGAACACGCATACTTGCATTATGTCGAGATGTTTGTAGGCAGCTGATGGCCTATATGAGCAACCGCCAAAATCTGCAATGACTAATTATGTAGAGCGGTCGGGAATCTCAAGTATTGGGCTAAAATTTCTGCAAAACCTCCCTCAAAAGCGATAACCTTGCTTACTCATGTCCTTTGCTTGATAGCACGTTTTGGCGGACGCTCATTAATTAATATATAAGTAGCCCAAGTAGGACAAGATGAAACGAGCCACACCAGTGAGTAGATACCATAATTGGCCACGAGCTGGTCAAACTCATAATGCAAAAAGTTCCAATGAGTTCAACATCGCCCAAATGTTTTGGAAAAGTCCCCATACTTTCCGATGACCAAGAATTTGGTCCCCTTCCACTTCTACCATGCTTTCACGCTGAGGAAATATAGCATCGATCAGAGCGCACGTCTCCAAGTCATTACCGGTGACGCACCAAAGGAGGACGTGTCGTGGAGGATGGCATATCAGCCAGTTGGGCCCCCTGGCGGAAAATCAACGCGCAGTTCGTGCAGTGCCTGAGGGAATGAGCGGACTCGAGGCATTAGCCCGACAGTCAAGTTAGATGAGAAGAAAGAACGCTTGACCCGCGCGACAACTGTTTTGATGTGCCGAACAAAAATGGTGGAAGAATGAGTCGCAGGTCATTGCTTAGCCAGCAATGGTCACCCCACTTTCATGTTTCTGGATGCATCATGATGCCTCTTGTGATGCCTCTTGTGATGCCTTTAGTGGTCCATCCAAGGCACACTCTACACTGTTGCAGCGACGGCACCGAGATCGAGTTGGACATCGCCATGAAGTTGAGAGGCCGACCTCGCTCCGGAGGGTCCCACAGGACAGGTGAAGGTGCACTTGACCTTCCGAACACCACTTGAAGCTATTTAGAGCCAGCACCACTGTCCAGTGGCTTTTTGTTTTGAGGTCCAAAATGTCCTGGAAAGGCTAGAGGACAACATCTCAAGGAAAACCACATTGAATCTCATTGAATCACCTGAGTCCTCTCATCCTCTCTCCCAAATCTAATCACTTATAGTCCCTGACACGTTAAGTCCGACTCACCTGGGCTCTTCGGAAGCGACTCACCTCGGCTCGGAGGCTTAGTCTATCCCCTGGGCGCGCGGATGTCCTTGCCCTGCGGAGAGGCCCCTCAGCGACCGGTGGATCGTCCGATGACTCGACCCCGGTGGGCCAAGCTTTGGACATGACGGAAGGTGCTAAGCAGGACATGACGGATGTGTCTTCAAAGGACACCTCTTCAAAGGGGTTGAGAAGGATGATAGCCTTAAACCATGTGTTTGAAGGGCCTTCTGCAGGCCTGACCAGGAACTTCACTTCTCTCCGCTGCATAAACGCCCCGGTGAAGTCTTGGTTGAAGTGACTTGAAGTGACTGCAGGGCCATTGCAGTGGCCCACCGTGAGTGTGTCAGGCCACCGTGATCAGCCTCCACGAGAGTGGGAAGTACGTCCTGCGCCTGGACGGCACACGGAAGCAGCTGCTCTTCGAGCCGGACCTAGCCAACCATGTGCCTTCCGGCGTTTGGAGATCCTCAGCGAAGATGTGAAGAACTGGGCCAGTTTGCTGATTCCAGGTATGCGGCTGAGGTCTATTCATCAGAGGGCAGGCTAAAGGGGTGGAGTCCTAAAGGGGTTGATAGTGAGCAGTAAACATCTACATAGTCCAGGCCTATAATTTACTATATAGATACTTTTTAGCAGAGAAGGCCAGATTCGCTTTCAGTGGAACTGGTGAGTTCTGGCGAGGTCGTTCCTGGCAGGTGCCCACACCCACATGAAGCAGCTGAAAATGGTCTTCTTTTCAGCTCACGGGGTGTAGTTTGCTTCCATCAATCACGCCAAGGAACTGTGTCATGCCAGGGAACTGGGCAGCATCAAATTCACAGAGTTGGCTGCGCCACTCTCAGCTGAGGATACAGTCCTGGACAGCTGCTCATGGTCTTCGTGGACGGTCGGGCATGGGTCGATGTGAGTTGAGCGGATTTCCAGGAGCGTTTGAAGCGGGTAAAGGGTCCAAGTCCTGTCAATCTCCATCAGGGATCAGAGACCATATGAATTGTAACTTGATGTAGGCTCTTGATTAATAAGCCCACTCCATTTGGATTGAAAAAACCTATTCCTTTGGCGGGGTGGTTGATCAAGAGTCTACATTAATGGGTAAAGCTGCTGGTTCCCCAGCAGGCACGTGAAGCACTGTAGAACGTTTGCCACGTGAAGCACTGAGAAGACCTCAATGGAGTCACGCACGCGCAGCTTTGAGGAAGCTGATGATGGATGGCTCATCATGCAAGATCGTGTGATGAACCGTCAAAACGTCAAACTCTACTAAAAATTGAACACTTGCTCAACTCTTTCAAGGAATCATCCCTATAAGAAGTCATACCCAACGTCCGTGCTGTTTGAAAGCCCCTTGCTTTCTAGATTCACTGCGTTTAGTGCCGGCGTCAGGCAAGTGGAGGGACCTCAGGGTGCACAAAGTGAGCAACTACGGGAATCACCACATTTTGGAGGCCGGCGTGAACCGGCATGTGAGGCGTGGCACAGTTCCACTCAAGCCGGCAGGTACTGTAGCAGCTAGACTGCCACCAAGGTTGCTTGTGTTGGCCCCATTGGACAAAAGTGCCAGATTTGTCGGGTGCTGAGACTGGGCATATTCGTTCGAAGGAGCTGGGACAGCAGATCCGCTGGGACATCGATCTCAACAGTGTCCCAGATGCATCGGAGTCCGTCATCGCCTTCCGGGCCGACGGTGTTTTTTGAATGGAAGGGAACCAGTCCCGGAACCTCAAACAGACACCGTCTCAGCCAGGACACGTCATATTATTTGGTCACTGTTCTCACTGTTCTCTCTCTCTCTCTCTCTCTTAGCCCTTCTGAAAGTCTGTTTGTATCAGTCCTGCTTCCAAGTCTTTCTCTAAAGCCTGATATCTCAAGAGCAGAACTGCTAAGCCGCCGCCCCCGCCGGATCGTGGGAGGCTTGAATCACTCACCGGCATGGCTCTCCAGTGATGAATGGTGGGTGGAGCTCAGACGTTGGGAGGAGACCTGGCTGAGATTTCAGGAATATTCCACAGAATTTGTGCTTTTAAAGAGGATGTGTGGGTTCGTCCACTTTTGGGGTGAACATGATCTCATGTGCTCATGTTTTTGGTCATCACGTGGCACTGCTCTTACGTTTGATGGTATTTTCTGGTGCCACAAGATGCAGCATGCATCCTTGGCAGGCTGGCAACAATTCTTTGGCCCTTGGTCGTGGTCAACGCCTTGTTTTGACCCACCCGTTCTCCCACAGAATCTCTTCGCCAGCCTCCGAGTTCCTGCCCCAATCATCTCCCAAAGTGAAGTTTCATTATTGTTTCGAACAAAAGAACTCAATAGCGATGGCCTCCAACCGCATAGCGATGGCCTCCAACCTCATAGCCACTCCCGAGGACGCGTTGCTGTGCGGGCTGAATGCCACGGATGTTTTCACCGGGCAGCCAGTGGACATTTTGACCTTGACTTGGTCGTTGGTGGATGGACAGCCACCTGGCAGAAGGGCAAAAGTGGGCGTCCTCCGAATGGGACCTCATAATGTCATAATGTTATATATATATATATACATTTATGTAATAGAGTCATATTTGTTGTTATGTCATATTTGTGTTACCTCATGTTGTTATGTCATATGTGTGTTTGGGAGTCTAGCTTTTCTTGTCCAGATTTTGTTCTGACCAGCTTGACACGGACCCATTGCTGCAACAGATCTTTTTGAAACAGATCGATGTGAGCAAGTATGTGAGTGTCTTCAACTAGCGCAGTCTTCTATACATAATGATGTATTCGTAAAAAGTTCAACATGTTCAGACAAGTCGGACCATACTTGGACCATACTTGACCCATTACTTGGACACTCCCCTCCCCTCCCTACACATGAATGGATCAGATGCCTAGAACTCCCGTTCGAGGGCGATCTCCATCACCGAGACGATTGGCGAAGGCATTTTCAGCGACCTCCCGACGGAAGCTGATCCGAGCATCTCATCCGCTATCCGTCGTGTGTCTCTTTCTGCACCGTGGGTGAAACCGTAGGAAGATGGTGTTTCAAGTGCTAGGCAGAGACCCGGTGATAGCCAGACCCACGTATTTTTTTGTGACTCTGATGACCATGACCAGGCTATACGGTAAATCCATGATGTATATCCTACTTATACCCTACAAGTCAATGACCTCATTAAACTGAAGTTGGTCATACAAAAACACTACTCAAGAAGGTAAAGGACCAGGTTTTACTGGGTCAGACTGGACTTGTAGGCATGTTTATATCCTGATCCTATATACCTCCTGGGATCGGTTGGCTGACCCATCGAGGTCTATGGACTCGCTTGCTGGCTCACCTGGCCCAGCGAGCGCCGGGTCGTCAGCATGGCGTGACGAACAACGCGGCAGCCTCTCATGGTGCTCCGGTTCTTTTGCTGCTTGGATTTCAGCAGGTGGAGGAGTTCCGCATGAAACTGGCAGATGAATAACAGCATTCAACAACTTCTCGGCCAGGTATAGATATAGGAGTTGCTAGTTCTGCGGGCAAGTGATGTTTTTTTGCTTTAATTGAACTGTGGTTTTCGGTGACTGAGACCACTTTTTGTTGGCAGTTGACTTCTGGGAACGAATCCATGAGATGTTTGGCTGTCAGAGCCCAGCTCGTGTCGACCACGTTGCCCGTTGCAGACGACATCGTTCTCGACGTCGACGGGACGTGGTCTCCGTCCGACGGCGAGGTTGGGCCCAGTGGCTTCAGGGAAGACTCGCCTCCTGCGGCGCTTGGCCGTGGAGGCCATGCTGAGCCATGATGGAGAGGAGCGGGGGAAGCCCGTGCGGGAAGCGGGAAGCGGTGCGTTTTTGACCACGGAATCTGGAAGAGAAGAACTTGAACATGTGGACACTTGCTTTTGGACAAGGAGGTTTTCGTGCTCTCCGAAACAATATATAGTTTCTTGGACACCTCCCAAGTGAAACATGAACATGATATAGATTGATATAGTAGGATGTAGTGAAATCCTTTTATGCTTTTATGTTGCTTAAGTTGGGAGAGTATAATAGCTATGGTAGTTCACAACAAGCTCAGCCCGTGGCCGTGCTCATCACGGGAGGTGGTGCCATTGCTCGTCACAGCCATGCAGCTGCTCATGGGCACCAGATGCTTGGCCTGAATGGATGCTCCAGGAGCCTCAGAACTTGGAGCCTTAAGTTTAAATGGACACCGGCCAATGAGGATGGTTGTTTCTCACCGTCCACGAATTGCAGTTTGCACTGGTGTATAGGTGGCAGGTGGAAATTGTGATGATTTACTTGCAGTAATCAACAATAGAGAATTGCAAGTATCATCAATTATTTTCACTGTCCGCCTCAGTCTTTGCTTCCTCTTCTCATGTCATATATCCTCCTACTTTCTGTGTCGGCGGATCGTTTGGCGAATCTTCCACCTGAAGGCATCAGCCCCCGCGCCTCCAATGAGTTCTTCCACCAACGCCGCGTCACGCGGCGGTCCGCCAAGGCGGGCGGATCCAGGGTTCGGCCAAAAACACCCAGACGGTTGGTGGAACCTGGAGAATCAATATGAATCAATGATGATCATCTTCGCTGTGTTTTCTTGGGTTTTTCCTCATGTGGTAATCGGCATGGGTGATCACCTTGACGGCACAACACATGTGGCATAGCTTGAGGGCCACGGCCCAGTTCCGACAGATTGGATCCTGGAAAGTTGTGGATGTCAATGGCTAGAGCTTCTGCAACCCACTCTCGGCTGGAATCCACTAAGAGCCTACCATCATTTGGTCTTTTGGAGGCTGCTCTGCAGCCCATGGCTGTCACCACACACCCTCCTCACCACACCCCCGTTTCCATATGGCGAAAGAGACATTGGCGTTCTTTTTTCGCAACACAAGAGATACTTTGGGCGCCCTGTCGTGTCAAACTTTGCATGTTGCGACCACATGTCTATCGACTTAATGTGTTCGATCTATCCCAATGGACGCCTGGACTGGACGCCAAAGACCAACCCTAAAATCATGTCACTTCAAAATCCTGGTTTAGTATCCCACATGCATGTATTAAATTCTATCCGGGCACTGAGTTCGATGTCAGGACTCACAGGACATCGCACTGCGACGGCTGCAAAGCACGGACTTCCTGGTGATCTTCCTCCGCAGCGTGGCAGCGGTCGTGCGACTTCGGGGAACCCCATGGGGCCGGACACCGTTGAGACATGTTTGCACCGCTCTGTCTTGGGCTTAGCCTTGGGCGTAAGCATCATTTTAACAGTACACTACTCACAGGATTTGAGAAGTGGCTTCAGTATCAACAGTATTGAGAGGGTGCTCACTGATGGGATTGGAGCAACAGCAGTTCCTTTCCTTTGCATGAATCAATGTGAAATAGTACATAATGATACAAATTGATCTATATATCTATATATAATCTATAAGTATAAGTATATATATATATATGTAACATAACCCATAAATTGTGACAACACCATGTCTATTTTCGACCGCCCCTTCTCCGCTGCTTCTTAGGCATGGCTTTCGGCGCTCAGACGACCACCACGCGCTTCCTGCGGCAGGCACTGCATTCGCGGCGGCTGCTGCTGCTGGTGGATGCTTTGGAATTGATCCTTGGAGTAGTCAGCGCGAGACCGATGGTTTCGATATGTTTCGATGGTCAAGAGAGAGAGAGAGAGAGGGAGAGAGAGAGGGAGAGAGAGGGAGGGAGAGGGAGAGGGAGAGGGAGAGGGAGAGGGAGAGGGAGAGGG